CGTTCATAATTTCCCTCCTCCCTTTCCCTCCTCCCTTTCCCTCCCACTTCCCTCCCTCGCCCCGCCCCCGCCGCCAAAAAAAAATATTAATATAGTCATTTATTACATATTAATTATATATACTTAATTCAAAAATTAATTTTCTATTAAAAAAAAAAAAAAAAAAAAAACTTGTTTACATTATTTTATTATTATTAATCATAAATTATTTATTTAAAAAAACCTATAATTATGTTCAATAACTTTAATAATAAATAATAACAAATAAAGAAAAAAAAAATTTCTTTTATAGGCGGTTAAATGTTACGGTAAATATTAATATATAATATAAAGGGGAAAAGACAAGTGAGTGTTAAAAGGTAATAACTACAATTTTATATATGTACATATTATTAAATGAATTAACGTTGTTGATGTTATTTTATTGGCTAGAATATGTTTTTAATGTGACCGACCTTTTAATCGTTTATCTTTTAAACAACCTCCTTTTTATTATACTTTTCGAATATTATCATTTATTTAAAATATCATCATTTCATGTGTTTTCTTTTCAAAACGTTTTTCAAACAGAGAAAAAAAATATCGATAAAATTTTTTTTTTTATTTTGTGTATAACACGAAGCCATATATTTACTTATTATTATTATTATTATTATTATTTTTTTTTTTTTTTTGTTAATTCTCCCGTTAATACTTTTTAATCGGCGAATGAAATTTATTATTATTATCATTAATAATTATTCGAATAAGAAAAATTTTTTTTTAAAAAAAAAACTTACATTTTTGCCCACGTTGTGTTGTTATTAGTCCACCTGTTTTTTTTTTTTTTTTTTTAAAGAAAAGTCGGAAAAACACCTGTGAACGTAATTATTATATTTTACCATGACGTTTTTTTTCCTTTTTTTTTTTATTACAGAGACATATTGCGACGAAAACGTGTCGTGATAATAATAATAATAATTGTAAATAATAACAGTGGAAATGGATGAGAAAAATTTATCGGGTTATAATAATAATAATTCGAAAGATCAAAATTTTTCATCATCGTCTGAAAGTTTAAAAGCAAATTATGGAGAACATTCTGGATCGTCAAACGAAGAAAATTTATCACCAGAATACGAAAGTGAAAAATTTAAATTTTCCGAAGAGAATGTTAATAAAGAAATGAGAGAAACGTCTTTCAGTCAAATTCCGGAAAAGTCTAAGACCATCATCAAAAATATTATTGGTTTGTATTTTATTTATTATTATTATTATTATTACAACTATTTGGTACTTTTATAATTAATAAATAAATAAATAAATTAGCAGATGATAATATGGATGATAAGAAAAATTCAATGACCGTAACTGATGATGATACGTGTAGTGGCATAGGCGTCGATGGCACAATTGTTGATAAGATGTTGGCAATGCAACGTGACGACGGTTATGGAAGTTCATATTCATCACCTCATAGTGCAGGTAAAAAAAATAAAATAAATACATAAATTTATTTAAATAATTCATTACTTAAAAAAAAGTTATCAATAATAGTGTTTACCTTTAAAATATTGACCCCACGTTATCTATTATCACTGGAAGGATAAAAAAAAGAAAAAAAACATGAGGTACTCCTTAAAAATTATTTATTTAATAATCGTTCGCGAGATTAAAAAAAAAAAAAATAATATTAATAATAATAATTTATAAAACCATGGCAACGAATATAATTTAAAACCACACAAAAATATTATTATTATTATTCCAATAAGGAAAATATTATGCATTTAAGAGCTCATTTAAAAAAAAAAGAAAAAAATTTAGTCTTTATGATATTCCTTAAAATAATAACAAAACATAAAACCACTTATTATTATTATTATAAAATAAATAAATTTAATATAATTTTTTTTTTGTTCTTCTTCTGCTGTTGTACATATTCGGCGCCGTTTTAATTCAAAAATAAACCAACTAAAATGTCGATTTTTAAAAAAATTATCTTGTCAGGAAATAAAAAAAAAAAAAAAAAAGAAAAACTTTTTTAAACTGTTTAAAACATTTTAATTTTAATTAAAACTTTTTTTTTTTTTGTAACTGATAAAGTTCAGTTGGAAAAATTGTGAGAAAAAAATCTGGAAAAGGGAGGGAAAATTCATTTTTCATTTTTTAATTTTTGTTTTGATGTTGTTGATTGTTTAAATGGCTTGCAAAAAAAAAAAAAAAATTGTTAAAAAATTAATGTTGGATTTAATTTTTATATGGACGCGAACGCGCACTCACGCACGCACCCACGCAAACGCACATAAAAAAAAATTCGTGTGAAAATTAAATTTCCGCCGGGAAAAAAATTTTATTTTAATTTCGGGAAATCAGGTATCGGGAGGATAAAGTGGAGGGAGGAGAGGGAAAAATATACTATATTGTATTTTTCTCTATTTATTGAATTTTTAAATGACGTCATCACAATAACTCTCCTCCTTCTCTCTACTCCTTTGTTAAGAATCCTTTTCATACAAATTCCTGACATTTGTTTTGTCCTTATTTACCAAAAAAAAAAAAAAACCGTGGCATTATTATTATTATTATCATCATCATCATCCGCGAAAAAGTTTTTTACCCTTTAAAAAAAAATATAAGTGTAAACCGTTAAAATTAATTCCCCTTAAATTATTTTTATTCAAAATAAATTTTTTTTTTTTTTTTAAATAATTTTACCGCCATTTTATCATCATTATCATTATTATTATTATTTTATTAAAATTACTCATTGAAACGTGGAAAATTTTTATTATTACTTTAACATAAAATTATATTTTTTAAAATTAAAAGTTTGAATGAATGTAAAACAACAATAAATGATGATAATTTTCCTTTATTATTATTATTATTACTATTATTATTATCACTATTATTATTATTATTATTATTATTATTTAGGTCGAATTAATATAAACAGTAATTTAATAAGATATTATTATTATTGTCATTCATAAGGTATTGGATTAAGATTTACGAAAATAATGTCGGATATAAAAATGTTTTATTATTTTTTAATTATGTTTCTTCTTCTTCTAATAATAATAATAATAATAAATTACTCGTTATACCGCCCATTTTTTTTTTAATTACAATATTTATCAAGTTACACATTTCATAAATTAAAACATAATAATAATAATAATAATTATAATTATAAAAATTTTATTTAAAGTATTCGATTGATGATGTGTATATAAATTAAATAAAATTTTTAATTTGATTTGATAGACGGGGGGAGGGGGAATTTTCATAAAAAATATTTGAGGGGGGTTAAATAAATAATAATAAAAGTGAGGAGTATACGGAATAATAATAAATATTCAAAGGGAAAAAATTTTTATATGATAAAATTTAAAAATGAATATTGAACGTTTGCGACCTCTTCGTTCTATATATATTGTATTCGATATATATTTCAATAAGTTCAAAATAATAAATAAGCGGGAAAAAAATTTATTATGAATATGAGAAAATATTGTTAACGAACAAAAGAACAAGTACTATCTATATAAGAGAAGCGATATTAAAAAATAATAATTATAATTCCAAAGAGGTTTTGCGAAAAAAAAAGGGGTTAAACCAATATTATTCGCCATTGTTATTCACGGTGTGTAGCTTATAAGTTCTCAATTATAAAAAAAAAGAGGTGTGCGGAATACTTCGTGTGTGTGTGACCATTTAAAAAATAATTTTCATTATGTCTATGAAGAACCTAAAATTTTTGATTGTCATTATGCGACAAAAAAATATTTCCTATTAAAACAATAAGAAAAAAAATGTATCAGGAGACACTGATACTCATGGCGAACAAAAAAGACCTGGGTTTCTAAACAAATGAAATGGATTATTTTAAAACCGATGTAATTCATTTATATTTTGTGAAAATTTTAATTCCAAAAAAAAAAAAAAAAGAAACCATGAGTAAAATACGTTTGTGTGTGTGTGTGTGTGTAATTGATATCCGGAAGATCGTGTTATGCGACATGTCTCATATTTTCATTGAAATATTATAAAAGAACCATACTTCCTCTTCCTCCTCCACCTTCTCCTCTTCTTCTTTAAAAAACGATGAATTGAAACTTAAGAATTTAAATTTATTTTATACTTAAAATAATAATAAAAAGAGCAGAAAATGAAAATTCTAAATATTAAATAAATGAGACCAAAAAAAAAAGGTAAAAACCGTAGATTTTTATTTAAAAAAAGTGCGTCGTCGTTGTCGTCGTCGTCGTCGTCTTTTATAAAGGATAAGAAAATGGAGAGAAGGTCATGATAAAAAAAAAGTATGGCACGATTTTCATTTATTCGAGAAAAAAATAAAAATAAAAAATAAAAAGCGTCAGAATTCCTCAGGAGTGTGGAATTCCTTACTTCTTAAATGGTATTACTAAGCCCTAAGTGAAATTCTTTATAAAATTCCAGTCTTTACCTCTCAATTTTTTTTTTTATTTTTATCCCGACTAATTTAAAAACCCTCCGGTTTTCATTTTCCCCCTCCTCCTCCCCGTTTTCCCATTACTCCAGAATTTTTTTTTGTTATTTTCATATTTTTCTATTTTTTTTCTTTCTTTTTCCTTTTAATTTTTAAATGTATAAAATATTTTGTTTTTTTTTTCCCACATCACATATTATTATTATTATTATTATTATTATTATTATTATTATTTTTATTATTATTATTAAATTCACATACAAACATTTATTTATTATTATTATTAAATTTTTAAAAGGGTTAAAAAAAAATGGAAAAGAAAAACCGAACAAAAAACGTCACATTCACTCATAAATGAATATCGGAATAAAATATTTTTTTATATATTAATTTATTATTATTATTATTGTCCTCGTACTTTTGCGATTTTAGTTTTTTTTTTTTAAAATATTTATAAATTTTAAAGATTTTTTGCCAATTTTATTTTTATTTTTATGTACATAAATATTTAAATTGTTAACAATAAATTTCAATGTATGTATTTTATATTTTTTCTTTTGTATGTTTGCGGGGGGAGGGGAAAAACGTTTTCCAATAATAATTTTTATTTACTTAAACACTTTTCTCACGTTTTTTTAAAAAAACATATATTGTGTGACGTATATACAGGTAAATCGACACAGATTAACAAAAAAAATTTTTTTCACTTGAATATTATTATGTAATAATTATCATCATCATTATTATTATTATTATTATTTTAAATAGAATTTGTTAACTGAGCCAAAAATTTTAAAAAAAAAAAAAAAAAAAACAAAAACGTCTTGAGAGTAATAATTAAATTTCTTTAATTAAAAATAATAATTAAATTGATAAAAAAAACAATGAATGGTAGATGAATATCAAAATAATAATAATAATAATAATGAAAATGGAAAAAATTTTAGATAAAAAATTAAAAGCCATTATGAGAAAATCTTTCCCTCCCCTTTTTTGTTTAAATCCCCCCTTTTTAATAATAATAATAATAATAATAATAATAATTTTGTTAACGTAATAAAATATTTCAAAGGGGATAATTTATAAATTAAAGGGATTTTTTTTTTCGTGTTATTAGTTATCATTATTTTAATTTCGAACAAGAAAAAAGAAAAACATAATTTTTTTTTTTATTTTTTGTGTTTCAGGTGTTGCATCGAACAAATCGAAAACATCTCAAACCAAACCTGTATTGATATCATTTCCTTGGCTAACAAAAAGTAAGTCAAAAATTTACTTAAACGTTTCCTTTTTTTTTTTAATTATTTTTTTTTTGGGGGGGTTTTTTTGACAGGAGACATCGAAGTTAAATTAGATGAAAAAAAAGTCGGAGTAGAATCTCACGTTGTCATACCTACAACTATTGAATTTTCCGATTTGAATAGGGAAACATGGGAAAGAAGACTTGATTTTTTATTATCGATAATCGGTTTCGCTGTCGATTTGGCTAACGTTTGGAGATTTCCATATTTGTGTTATAAAAATGGCGGAGGTAATTTGGATTTAACCCATTCCACTAAAAAATTTTTATATTAAATGTAAAAAAATTTTCTTTTTTTAGGCGCTTTTCTCATTCCCTACACTCTAATGATGGTTTTCGGTGCTGTTCCTTTATTTTACATGGAACTTGTTTTGGGACAATATAACCGACAGGGTCCCATAAGCGTTTGGAGAATATGCCCATTATTTAAAGGTAAAAAAAAAAAAAAAAAAAAAAAAACAAATTTTTTAAATATTATAAAATTCGATAAAAATTATTTATTTATTATTAATTTTTAGGAGTCGGTTTTTGTGCAGTCATGGTTGCTTTTTACGTTTCTTTTTACTACAACGTAATTATAGCTTGGGCTCTTTATTTTTTAACTGCCAGTGCGACGCCAAATTTACCATGGGTTCATTGTAATAATTCTTGGAATACCGATCACTGTTGGGAATCAGCTGAAACCGTGCAAAAAATATCAGATAATGTTTCTTATTTTATGCAAAATCTAACGGAAAACGCGAAAAGTTATGACGAATCAATCAACACACATTCATCCGTACCTGATTCTATAAAAAATCGTTTTTCACCTGCCTCGGAATATTTCCAGTACGTTTTTCTTTCTTTCTTTTTTTTGTTAAACACTAAAAATTATAAGTTGTAAAAAAAAACTTTTTTTTTTTTTTTTACAGTCGTGCTGTATTAGAAATGCAATGGTCTGAAGGTTTACATTCCATGGGTTATCCAAAATGGCAGTTAGTTATTTGCTTATTGATTGTTTACATTATGCTTTATCTTTCTTTGTTCAAAGGTGTTAAATCATCTGGTAAGTCACAAATTTTAAATTTTTTAAAAATTGTCGATCGCGTATACGATAATAAAATGATATTTTACAGGTTTGGTAGTGTGGGTAACGGCTACCATGCCTTATGCTGTACTTACAATACTTTTAATAAGAGGATTAATGCTTCCTGGAGCACTATCGGGAATTTCTTATTATCTTAAACCAGAACTTACAAAGCTCAAAGACACCCAGGTGCTTGTAAAATGATAAAGTAAACTTTATTAAAAATATCAAAATAATTTTTTTTTTTTTTTTTTTTTAATAAAAAGGTTTGGGTGGATGCTGCGGTACAAATTTTTTATTCTGTCGGTGCGGGTTTTGGTGTTCATCTTTCCTATGCGAGTTATAATGAATTTCATAATAATTGTTTAAAGTAAGAAAATACATACACACACACAATTTGGAAAATTAATTTTCCTTTTAAATATATTTCATTAATTTTTTTTTTTTAGGGATTGTTTAATAACAACTGGAGTAAACTGTTTCACAAGTTTTTTCTCAGGATTTGTTATATTTACATACCTCGGTTTTATGTCGTACAAACATGGCGTTCCCATAAGTTCCGTAGCAACAGATGGTAGTTGATTAAATAATTACAATAAGTTTAAAAAAAAAAAAACAATGTCTTACTTTTTATTTATATTTTAGGTCCGGGTTTGGTATTTCAAGTTTATCCGGAAGCTGTTTCCACTTTACCAGGTTCTAATTTTTGGTCCATGTTATTTTTTTTTATGCTCATAATGCTCGGATTGGACAGTGCAGTGAGTATTACTCATTTTTTTCTGGAAAAAGAAGATAAATATTTGCATTAAATTGCTGTCGGGTACGAATGTTTTTCTTTTTGTTTGCAGATGGGAGGCATGGAATGTGTTATAACAGGTCTCATGGATGAATTTCATCATTTTTTCAAATCCATTAAATTTTCAAGAGAAATTTTTACTTTTTGTGCTGTCACAGTTTCTTTTTCTATCGCTCTCATCAACGTTACTCCCGTAAGTTTTTTATTAAAAATAAGGAAATTTCGAGAGAAAAAAAAAAGCAAAAACTTGGCATTTCTTTTTTTTTTTTTTTTTAGGGAGGGATTTACACATTTCATTTACTCGATACTTATGCAGCAGGTATTTCTCTTTTATGTTCTGCTTTATTTGAAGCAATTGCTGTTTCCTGGTTTTACGGTTTAGAAAAATTTGGAGACGATATTGAAGCTATGATTGGAATTCGTCCAGGTTTATACTGGAGAATTTGTTGGAAATTTTTAAGTCCTGTTTTTATAATAGTGAGTTACAAAAAAAAATTTTGATTTTATAACGAGAATGCTAACTTAGAAAAAAAAAACCAAAACAAAAATGAATTTTTATTTTTTGAATAAGGGTGTTGTAATGTTTGGGCTCTTTTATCATGAGTCACTACAATATGAAGAATACAGGTATCCAAGTTGGGCTGAAGGTATTGGATGGAGTTTGGCTATGTCTTCGATATTAATGATACCTTTAACTGCTATTATTACCTTATGTAGAACCGAAGGCACTCTGAAAGAGGTAAAATTTTTTAAAAATAAATTACGATTACCGTATAATAATAATAATAATAATATATTAAAAGGAAAATTATTGATAAGTTTTTAAAAGGTAAATTTCAACGCAAATGGACAATTTTTTTTATTTATGTTTTATAGAGAATAGCAATTAGTATTTCTCCAAAAGAAGAACATGAAGAATTAAGAAGAACTAAATTGACTGAACGTTTTAAACTACGCCATTGGCTTTATGTATAATTTTTTTTACTAATATTAATTAGTATTGACAATAAGCTGCGCTTAAAATAAAATAAATTTTATAACCTGCTGATTGATACATTACAAAAAACGTTATTTAATGCAAATTGAATGCAATTATTTACTTATAAATAATAATAAAAAAAAAAACAAATTAATTAGATTTAAATACGATAATGAAATATTTTAGGCTTGAATATTTCAAATAAAATATGGCGGCATTGTATATTTAAATAAATTTCATTTTAATTCGGGTAAAATGAATAAAAAATAATAAAATTAATAAAAATAGTATAATAATTTTTTTTATTATTAAGTCACAATATAGGAAAAATATAATTTACAACAATTTTTGCATATTATCACTGCTTAAAATTATTATTATTATTATTATTATTATTATAGGTGATAAACAAATTAAATAACGACCTTGTAAATTTTTTTAAAAATTAAAATAAAATTGTTTGTTAAAAAACGTTTTTATTTGACAGAAAGGGCCATTTTATAACTGATAAAAATTATAAAATAAATTTTTTCATTAAAATAATAATAATAATTAATTTTATTTTTAAAATTATCATCACTTAATAAAAAAAAAAAAATATTTTCTTTAATTTCCTAAATAAGTTTAAAATGATTCTTTAAATATTTTTTAAATTAGGAAAAATTTAGTAGCCATTAATGATAAACTGATAAAATGATGGTTGGGAAAACATTTTAATTTTTAAATACATGATTTTAGAACCCCAATAATTTTCCCTATTTTATAACTATTTAATTTTTATCACAATTTAAAACAATTTTAAAGTTGTGTGACTTTAATGATACATGTTAAACATATTTCCTAGTGCTTATTCGATCTTTTTTTTTTTTTTTTTTTAAATTAATAGCATACGGTTTAACCTTTGAAAATGATTAAATGTATTTCAATGTGCAATTAATTTCATATTAAATTTTAAATAGTTTCAAGCCTTTTAAATAGTCATATTTCATGAATGTGTCCTTCAAAAAGTTTTTTCATTTTTCTATTTTTACGAATGCAAACTAGACATTTTGTTTAATTGGACTCCGACTTTACGCAGATAAAATTGTCGATTTAAAAATTTATGTACTAGATAGTAAAATGTATAATAAAGACTAAAAAATTTGATTTGTTAAGATACCTTTAGATAATGCTGAAAACTTCTTTTTTTTTTTTTTAATTAATTCATCCTTTTAAATGAGAAATTAATGTAACTAATTATTATTATTCAAGACAAAAGTTACATTGAAAAAAATTACCACAAAATAAAATAAAAGTTTTTCAACGATTAAAATAATGTTAAATTATTCTTTGGGTTAAATAAAAATATAAAAATAAAATAACTCACCTTGTTGATTATTTAATTTTTAATATGGTTCGTTAAAAGTATTTTATTTTGTGAAAGTGCGACAACTTTCTAACTTTTTTCGACAAAAAAAACTGGTCGAATAACGTAGCACAGTTATTTAAAAAAAAAAAAATGAAACTATTAAATGCTTATTCAAATTGTTTTTTATATATTTAATAGCAAATTTTATTAATGTATTAATTCACAAATTTTTACAAAGATTTTCAAATTTTTTTTAAAAATGATGATATATGTACATGTGCATTTTGGCTACTCTCATATGTCGCTACTAAATTAAATTTACTTTAATAACAACTCTTTTCTTGTGCAAGAAAAAGTAACTTATTTTAATATACTTTTCATAGTTTACCAAGGTGTTTAAATTTTTTTTTACGGTAAATTGAGTTATTTTGTTATATATAAAATATTATTTTTTAAAAATAAACGTTTGTAATTATTTTTTTGAAATATTACCAAACAGTGTTTAACCGCTAATATTGACACCGGTTAGGCAGTGAAATAAACTTGATTATTGTTCTGAAACAAGTAAAATCAGGTTACAAAAATTAAAATTAAATCTTTATATTTATTATAACTTAATGATATTTGTTTAATATTTTCCATGTATTTTACACGTTTTTTTATGATTTATTTTAAAAAGTAAACAATCTATGTATATATGTATTAGTAATAATATGTAGGTGCTTTGAGAATGCATAATAATATTTAATATAATGTTATGTTATTTATGTATATAATAATGTTTCTAAATTTTAACTGTATTTAATATTTGTTTAAGGTCATGGAATTGACTGATAGTAATATTTCTACATTATCCGAGTACCTGCAACATACTTTAAATCCTGATATAAATGTAAGAAGGCCAGCTGAAAAATTTCTTGAATCTGTGGAAATTAACAAAAATTTTTCAATTTTACTTTTATACTTAGTGGATAAGACAGATGTTGATTTAACTATAAGAGTTGCTGGCTCTGTGGCTTTTAAAAATTACATAAAAAGAAATTGGAAAGTGGTAAATATTTAATTTCATCAGTTTTGTAAGATCACACATAAAGTTTTGCAATTATTTTAATGTATTTGTAAAATTTCTTTAGGAGGAAGGAGGTACAGATAGAATACATGAAGATGATAGAACAGCTATTAAATCATTAATTATAGATTTGATGTTAAAGTCACCAGAATTAATTCAAAAACAGTTAAGTGATGCAGTATCAACCATAGGAAGTTATGATTTTCCTCAAAAATGGCCTGGATTAATTGAACAAATGATCAGCAAGTTTTCATCTGGTTAGGTTTCATTTTCAAACTTTTTTATCAAAAACAATTTAATTGTTTTTATTTTTTGAAGAAAAATAAATTCGACTTGGTTAATATAATAAGTTTTTATAATGTATTTGTAGGTGATTTTCACGTAATTAATGGAGTATTACAAACAGCTCATTCTCTTTTCAAAAAATACAGGCATCAGTTTAAATCACAAACATTATGGGAAGAAATAAAATTTGTATTAGACAATTTTGCCAAACCTTTGACAGATCTTTTTAATGTAAGTGATGAATAACTGCTAATTTTTATCATTGATAGAAATCATCTTATTGTTTTTTCATAAATAAAGCATTAAATTTTAAATAAATATTTTTTAGGCAACTATGAATATTGCTGGAAGCCTTAAGGAAATTGAAGGGTTAAAAATTATTTGCTCAAGTCTTACTATGATTTGCAAAGTATTTTATTCTTTAAATTTTCAAGACTTACCAGAATTTTTTGAAGATAATATGGAAACATGGTTTACTCACTTTTTAACATTGCTTAGTTTTGATATAAAAGAATTGCATACTCAGGTACCAAACTTTAACATTAAGTACTAAAAGTGTTCGAAATACAAATTGAAGAATTTTTTTAAAAATTAAACTTTTTACAGGATGATGATAATGCTGGTATTTTAGAAAAATTGAAAGGTCAAGTTTGTGACAATATATCATTGTATGCTCAAAAATATGATGAAGAATTTTCAAATTACATGCCGACATTTTTCACAGCTGTAAAAGCCTTATTAATATCAATTGGTCCACAAGCCAAATATGATCATGTAAATACATTATCTGATATTTTTTAATAATTATCTGATATTAATAATAATATTTTAATAATGTAAATAATTAAATTTTCAGTTAGTTAGTAATGCTTTAGGTTTTATGTCAAATGTTGCTGAAAGGAAACACTACACTCTATATCAGGATTCAAATGTTTTGAATGAAATATGTAATAATGTCGTCATTCCTAATTTGGAATTCAGAAGTAAGTTCACTTTAATTTTCTATTCAAATTTTTTATAACATATGAAACAATCATAATAAATAAATTTGCATTAAAATTTTAATTTATATGTATTATATATTTATTAGCAAACTATAAATTTTATTTTTTTTCATAGCTAGTGATGAAGAATTATTTGAAGATAATCCTGAAGAGTACATCAGACGTGACATTGAAGGAAGTGATGTGGATACGCGAAGGCGAGCTGCTTGCGATTTGGTAAAAGCTTTGGCAAAAAAATTCGAACAAAGTATGATGTCAATATTTGGACAATATGTGGAGGTGAGTGTTTTGAATTTTTTATATTCAATATGGCATGAATTGGCGCGTAAAATATTTCATTGTATTCAATGTTTTATATTTAATAGGCAATGTTAGCACAATACGCTGCTAATCCAGCTGAAAATTGGAAATCTAAAGATGCAGCTTGTTTTTTGGTAACTTCTCTTGCTTCAAGAGGTCAAACAGAGAGACACGGTGTGACTCAAACTTCACAGTTGGTCAATTTATCGGATTTCGCTCATTTTCATGTATTTACTGAACTCTCACAACCAGATGGTAAGATTTCACATGATAGCTAAAAACCTAATTCTTTGATATTGAATTTAATTTTAATTTTTTTTTTTTTTTTTTTAGTTAACGCATTTCCCGTAGTAAAAGCTGATGCTATTAAGTATACAATGGTATTTAGATCAGTGTTACCCAAAAAAGTTGTGGCATCTTCTTTGCCCAATTTAGTACGTCATTTGTTGTCAACAAGCCCGGTTGTGCATACGTATGCAGCTGCTGCCATCGAAAAGATTTTAGCTTTAAAAGGACCTGATGGTAGCAGTTTGTAGGTTCTTTTGTGTAAATAGAAAATAATTATGTATCTCTCATAAACAGTTTTCAAAAAACATAATTTTTAATTTTTTTAGAATTGATGAGAAAGAAGTTATTCCCTTGGCAGGGGATTTATTGGCCAATTTATTTAGACTATTGGATTCGACAGCTTCACAGGAAAATGAATATGTTATGAAGGCGATCATGAGAAGTTTTATAGTTCTTCAAAGTAATGTCACTCCTTATCTCGGTGAACTTTTGCCGAAACTTACTCAAAAACTTTGTCTAGTTTCTAGGTAACTTCTAACATTTTAACATTTTTTAATGTTAGTGTGATTAAAAAAAAAAAAAAATTAATTTTTATGATTTTTTTTTTTTTTTAAAGGAATCCTAGTAAACCATATTTTAATCATTATTTATTTGAAACTTTGGCTCTATCAATAAAAATAGTTTGCGCTCAAACTCCTGAAGCCGTTTCAAATTTCGAAGTTGTTTTATTTCCAACATTTGAAGCTATTTTACAGCAAGACGTACAAGGTAAATCCGGATTTGAAAATTATTTAAATTAATTCAAACATTTTGTAAAATGAGAAAAAAAAAATTTATTTATTTTTTTCAGAATTTATTCCTTATGTTTTTCAATTGTTGTCAATGTTGTTGGAACTTCTTAGTAATACAGTAGGAAAAATTCCTGATTCATATTTTGCACTACTCCCATGCTTATTAGCACCGGTTTTATGGGAACAAAGTGGTAATATCAAACCTCTTGTTAGATTACTTCAAGCTGCGATTGCCTTGGGCCCACAACAAATAGTAAAAGAAAATCTTTTGGTAAATATATAATATGCATTTATATTAATATTATTTTGTGAATCATGTTTACAAAAAAAAAGGTTTGTTTAGCGAGATTAAATTTTGTTTTTTTTTTTTGTTTCAGAATGGGATACTTGGAGTTTTTCAAAAACTCATAGCATCTAAAATAAATAGTCATGAGGGTTTTAGCTTGATGCAACATCTAATTCATTTTATTCCTCAAGAAGCCTTAAAACCGTACATAAAGCAGGTTTTCGTACTTATTTTTACAAGGTTACAATCATCAAAAACGGCTAAATTTATTAAAGGCGTTATAGTATTTTTATCATTCTATGCATCAAGGTAGGATTTAAATAATGGACGATTGTTTAACCGTTTTAAATTAATTTTAATTACGTTCTTTTTGGTTACCTACAGGTATTCTCCAAACGAGTTGATAGCTTTAATTGATTCAATACAAAATGGAATGTTTGGAATGATTTTAGAAAGAATCGTAATACCCGATATAAAAAAAATTGTGGATCCCGTAGATAAGAAAATAACAGCCATAGGAGTAATAAAAACACTTTGCGAATGCGAATCTGTATTAAATGGAAATTATTCACAATATTGGTAAATTAATTATTGTTGTCAAACTCATTGTCCTGATTTTTTTCTTATTCAAAATTCCCTGACAATAAAATTAAACTTATTTTGATTTTTTCACTTTTACTGAAATTACCATTATTTATATAATTTATTAATATTATTTTATTAAGGTCTCCTTTATTAAATTCATTAATGGCTCTCTTCGAATCTCGAGATGATCATTCAATTCAACCTGAAGAAAATTCCATGGCCTACGAAGATAACGTTGAATATAGTCCGGCATATAGTCAGCTTGCAAATGCTCAAAAACCCCCATTCGATCCATTTAAAGGTACCCAATTAATTATTTAATATGGATTTAAAATATAAAATAAATAAATTAAATAATATTTTTATGTTACTTTTTAGACATTGTGGACCCCAGACTATATTTAGCTCATAGTCTAGCAAAACTATCCGTTAGTTCACCGGGAAAAGTCGGCATTTTAATTGGAACGTTAGGAGATGCAGAAAAAGTGAATTTAACTCAATATATGGCAGCAGCAAATGTTCAAATCTCTTAAAAAGGGAATAAATATAATAATAATAATAATAATAATACATTGTGTCAAATTTTTAAAACAGTTAAATCATTAGCATTTAATAAATGTTTATGTAAATTACAAAAGTTAATTTTTAACAGTTAATAATAAAAGTTAGTGCATTATGTAATGTATAATGAAAAAAAATATTAAGTTTTTTTGTGTCTATTTTTATCTTTACTGTATGAATTTAAAAAATTGTGAATTTCTACTCATTATTTAATAATGTATTTTTTAATATAATTTTATTATTATTTATGTAAAATTATTTCAAATATATATTAACTAGGCTTTTTTGTTATCCTGTTCAAAAATTAAAAAATTGCAAAAAAAAAAAAAATGAATACATGTTTCCATCATTTATTCCTATTACGTCGTCATTTAATTTTGAATAAAAATACGTCATCATAGTATTTTTTTTTTTTTTTAAGATTGGGTATCATTAAAAATAAAAAAAATATATTTTATAATTAAAATTCATATATTTCATTTTTATTTTTTAAAGTAAAATAATAATTAGAGATCATAAATTGTAACGAAAAAAAAACATTATAAATAAATGTCTGTTCAGTTAACGTGTTTACTACTTGAGTTTTTATATAAAATTTTTTAAAAGAGTTTTGAGCAATAATTTTATTTAAAAACAGCATATTTAAATAAAATAGGATTTTACAAAGTTAATTGTAAAATTTTTGTCGTTTTATAAAAATTCTAGATCATAATCTAATATTGCAAGGAAAAAAAAACTACGAAGTAAGTCGGCCATATTGAAAAAATTTCACTAAAGGTAATTTTAACTTAGAATATTAAATTTATTTTTTTATTATTATTATTTTTAAAATTATTTTTTTGTAACACTTAATTTTGTAGTGGTTAAGGTATTATTTAAATTTTTATTTTTATTTTATTAATTTGGTTTGAAAATATTTTTTTAAAATTAAATTTCTTTTTTTTTTTTTTTTTTTTTTTTCATTTCAATTTTTCTAAATGTTTTAGTTATTCTCATGAATTTATTTTTAGAATATTTATTTATTTATTGTTTCATACATATTTTTTTTAAATTTAATTAAATAATCGAAAATTTTTGAAAATATTTTTTAAGATGCTGCTTAACAAAGTATTATTAGAAACAATAACAAAAAAACAACCACCTATTATTAAGTATTCAATAGCTGGCTATTGTACCAAAGGTGGAGATTGGCATGATGAAAGGCGTCCCATTGGCAAAAGAGAATGGGTTGGATATGGTCTTTATTCATCACCTAATTATTTTGATAGAATTGATTGCCCCATGCCAGCTGTTAGGTTTAAGGAAATTACTGGGGATTTGGTAGTATGTATTAAAATATTCAAAATTTTTAAAAATTGAGATTTCCTTTTTTTATTTAATAAATTACTTTATTTTTTGAATTCAGAACACCCATCCTGCATGACCTGCACTCCTTCATTTTCTTGCTGAAGAATCCTCTAAAGTTGTTTTCCTATTTCTATCCTGATGAAATTTAAAAATTTTTTAATTAGGAAATATTCATAAACACATAATGTAATCATTACTTATTGTACGTTTTCAAATTAAATATAAACTCTAAGAAATCCTTTTACAAAATAAACTAAATATTATTTAAGGGTTTGAAAGAAAAGGAAAAGGGGGATTGGAAAAATTTAACGATGGATGAAAAAAAGAAGTTGTACAGGGCAAGTTTTCGACAAACTTTTGCCGAGGTAAATGCACCTACAGGTGAATGGAAATCTACATTGGGTGCATTACTTTTTATCTCTGGTTTGGGAATTTGGTTATACATGGCCTGTTACAAATATGGTGAGTAAACAATTAGTACTATTTACTGCTTTCATTCAATATAAAATTACTATTTTATATTCCCATTAATTATTTTAAAAGCATCATTAGCTGATGTTTTGTTTTAATAAAACTTTGGACTTTCATATTATGCATACATTGACTAGTAGCGAAAAAAAAAACTTAAGAAAAGGCTTAAAGATAAAAATATAAATTAAAAAATTATTATTAACTTTTAGTGTTACCAAAATTACCGAGCACATTTAGTGAAGAACATAGGCAAAAAATGTTCAGGCATATGCTTGTTAATAAATATGGTCATTTGAGTGGTGTATCATCAAAATGGGACTATGAAAAAGATGACTGGAAATAAAATTGTGATCACTAAATAATAAGAATGTAAAACAATGTCTTAAATCTTAATTTAAACTGAATTGTTTAGTTCTCATGCTTTGAAATTTCCACATTATTCGGTAGAAATATACTAATTATGAATAAATGTAGAGGTGATTCATTTTGAAATTAAAAATTGATAAATTATTATTTTGTTTTTGTTTTTTTTTTATGGTAAAGCATCCTATTCACTTTGTTACACATTATTCTTCATTAAAAAAAAAAAAAAGCTAAAAAGGAGAAAAGTTTAAAATTAAGGTTTATATTATATCAAATCATCATCTATATATGAACAGGAAATTTTAAAAAAAAAAAAAACCTTTTAGGTGTCATCATCCCCTGATCAAAATAAAACTTTTTATTAAGGAAAACACTACTGAAAAGTTTTAAATAATTTGAATTGTGCTAAGCTATTTTAAAACAAAATGACCCTTATTATTTCTTAATTAATAAATCAAAACTCTAAATATAATAATAATAATTAATTAAATCTAAAACTAATATTCATTTCTCTACATAACCATAGAAATAAACTATAAAGTATCTATAAAAATGCTTTTTTAATAATATTAATTAAATAACAAGTTTCGAATATTTTTAATTTACTAATGAAATAAAATTAGAGGTATTAAAAAATAATTAAAAGAAATAATTTAAATGATTAAATTTTAATATTTTATTTATTTAAGTTTTATTTATGATACATTTTGCACTTACATACTTAGTATATTTTATACAGTAAAAAAATTATTATAAAAATTTTATTATTTAATTATTACTAATCCATATATATATATATTAATTTTATTATTTATGTTTCTCCCAGAGAAATTTCTTTTACAATGCTTTGAAAATTCCTAAAAAAAAAATAAATAAGTAAATTTTTTCAAAAAAAAATATGCTATAAAATATTATTTTGTAAATTTACAATACTCACTTAGAAACTAAAGGATCACCTGGTATGTAAAAAGGATTGGAAACCACATCTACATAACTTTTATGTAGTTTTTTAAACATCTGAAAAAATTTTACTATAATTAAAAATTTGTCCAAGGTTTTCACAAACATTTATTTAAAAAATAATATGCATATATTTGTTCAAAAAGGTTTATGAATCAATGAAATAAATAAAAAATTTAATTTTAAACTTACACTGTGCACATCACTGTCTCTTAGAGCTACATTAGAAGTTCTAACAATTATTATTAATTTGATTTTGGTGTTGGTAGCATAACCATATCTAATTAAAAAAAATTTAGAAATAAGTAACAGTTATATCATTTACCAATAATTAAATAAATATAAAAACTATACATTTTATACTCTTCAGTAGAATGAAGTAAACCTAGGTAAAGTTTTTTAACCTCTGACGAACCCGTATTACATAATTTTTCTTCAATAATATCTAAAGATGTATGAATTTTGTAATGAAACTGTAATTCCAATTCAGGATTTGCAACCCATATGAACTGAGGAGAATTCTATAAACAAACGACAAAAAAATAATATATATTTAAAATCTTTTTAGTATTTTCCATAATAAATTTTTAATTATTGATAAAAATAAATATTACATCTTTTCCAACAACTGCAATGCATACGACCATTTTTTAAAATAAAAAAAATATCTTCGGCCCTCCTCTTTTATTGACATATCATGTTTTTATAAAACTGAAGTTCAATGTTGTCAAAACGCAAAAATGGCAACTATGCAAATATTATTTAGTGATTAAATTTATTACTAAATTCGGTGTTATAAACAATTTACGTTCAAAACATTTGTTGGTGATGTTCTTATAATGCTACCTATACGTTCTATAAATAATATCGACTCTGCTTTTGTACAATTTCAAAATAAAACAAATCGAAAAATCGATGTTTTGTGGATTAATTACGCTGGAGGATTAAAAAAGTACGGATCTTTGCAACCGTATGAAACTTTAAACGTTGATACATATAAAACACATCCATGGATATTTGTAGACCCCACAACTGGAATAAAAATGAAAGTGGGCTCTGGGACTGTATTTTACCCTTTATCTAATACAGAAGTCATTCGAATTTTGAGATTAAATGCGGATCAAGTGATCAGAATTCCTATTCCGATACGACTACCCGTATTTAGTCTTTTACAAATAACTTCTCAAATTGTGCTTTCATTGTTAAAAAATACAAGTGATATTGATAATTTGCAATTGCCATTAGTTTTGAAGCAAGAGATTTTGAAATTGAATGAAGAAAAAAATAAAATTGTATCTCAGTATTAATGGTAGGTTGTCGTGGAAGAAGTTTGATCAGGGGATGCCAAGTTTATTGTTTTGTTTAACTTGAATTTTAGCCGCCATTTTGTCATTACTATAAATCAATATCTTTTAATTTCTAATATAATAGTTAAAGCCTAATATGTGTTTTAAAGGCGATTAAGATTAATTTAACAAATTCTTTGATTGTACGTATTATTTTGTAATATTATAAAAACTGTGTTGTGCCTTATTAGTTCGGTATTGACTAATTATTTTTCGGCAGGGAATTCACTTAGAAATCGTAATTATTAAATTATAGGTGTACAAAAAAAGTTAATAATGAATGCACAATATTTATTTTTTATAAGTGATATCAAATTATAAATGAATACTACCGAAAAATTTGAATTATATATATAAAAAATAATATTATTTATAAATATTTTCATTTTTTCTGAATTCAATTTGCATTTCACAGAAAAATATTGATTTAAATACTTTAGTATGCACAGTAGTTTATTTAAAAATTTTAAAATACTAAAATTTCAATAATGAATTAAACTCATTTCAATATTTTAGAAGGCAATTTATTTGTGTATAATTTATTTTAAAACACTAATAAATTTGTTTTTTTTTTTTTTAGATATTTTAGCTATGAACATTAATAATAGGTTTATTAATTCCTTTATATTTTTACAAAAAAGGAGTTGCTATTGTAAAAAAAATTTTAAAAACATTTTTAAAAATTCTTGACAAAATAATGGGAAGTTCATCATCAAAATTCAAAAAATATTTGCATCACGGAGATGAATTTGCAGCTATGCAAGTATTTCAAAGTTCTCCAGAACTTCAAAAAAATTTAAACCCAAATTTGAGCTATGGAGAGCATTATAATCATGATACTGCCCTTCATTTTGCTGCTAAACATGGAATGAAACATTTATTAAGGTGAGTTCTGAGCTTTATTTTGATTCTTATTTAACAAAAATTTTTTAATATAATAAAAGAACTTGCATTGTTTTTGTAGGACTTTTTTAAATGATTTAGGAGGAAATCCTAATGTTAAAAATGGAAATAATGAAACAAGTTTACATTCTGCTTGCCAACTTACTGATAACAAGAGTTTTTCAGCAATGGAAAGAAGAGCTCACTGTGTGAGCCTTATAATTCAGTGGAGAGGTTTATTGAGGGATCCCAGTGGGAAAGAAAAAATTAATCTAGCAGCTCAAGATCAGGTAGGATTCAGTCATGAGAAAATTCCAATTTAGTAAATTATTAGTTTTTTTGTTTAATTTTTTTTTTTTAAATAATGGATTTATTTTTTTCAGAAAGGAAATACAGCTTTGCACATAGCAGCAGCCTCTGGTTTAGAAAGTTGTGTTACAGTTCTTGTAAATGCTGGTAGCCCGTTATTTTTAGAAAATAACGATAAAATGACTCCCTGTGACTTAGCTGTTAAAAATGGACAACACACCATTGCTCAACTCTTGGAGACAAATATGGTTTTTGTAAGAAAAATTCATTGATTATAACTTTTTTTTTTTTTTAATATATGTTAATGAAAAACATTTTAATATTTTAGGGTGATTGCTTAGATTTTCAATGTGAAAATGAATCTTATAGCAATCCTTATGAAGTAGAAGAGCTTTATTGTGGATTACGAACTCAGGATCTTCAAGAAGCTAAAGATCAATTGCTAGTTCAAACTTCGGATATGTTGCAGGTGCCATTATTTACGGCAGAAGCTTTGTTAAGAAACAATGGTAATTAAATAGATGAATATATTTTAATAAAAAACCGGGAGAAACAGATGAGTTTACCACTTTTTTTTTTAAAGAATGGTCTCGAGAAATGCTATTAGAAAAATGGATGAAAGACGCCGTTTCCTGCTGTAATTCAGCTGGTGTTGAACCTCCACAATCAGCATTCAATGCAACTGCCACTTATAAAGATTCCAGTTTATTGAAAAATCAAGACTCTTGTAATAATGAGGTAAGGAGTATCCAAAATAATGAAATTGAACTTCATTGGTAAAAATTTACAAAAAAATTTATTTTTCTAGTGTGAAATATGTATGCTGTCGATAACAGAAGACGATAAACCTTCAATAAAGATTTCATGTAACCATAATTTCTGTTTTCAATGCTGGGAAATGTATTTATCGAATAAAATTTTAGAAGGAATACAACACAACATATTGTGTCCTGCTTTTAATTGTCACATTTTAGTACCAAATGACGTTATTGAACGCCTCGTGAGTCCTGACCTCGCTAGACGTTATCTACACTTTGACATCAAGGTAACATTTCTTTATTTATGGAAATATTTAAAAAAAAAAAAACAGTAATCTTTTAAAAAAAACTAAAGCTTACCGTCTTATAATTTACTATAATTTAATATTGTTTACATTTAATTTGAAGGCATTTGTAGAAAGTAGCAAAAGCATTAAATGGTGTCCAGTAGCAGGATGCGGACGCGCAGTTAAACTTCCCGAAATGGAGCAAATTCAATCAAATTCAACGAATTCTCCACCGGGAAAGACTGAACCATTAATATCTCACGCTGTTGATTGTGGAAACGGTCATTTTTTCTGTTGGTAAGGGAAATTATAATGTTTCATTCTTTTGCACGATTTTTTTGCAATAATTTGACACGTCAAAATTAATTCATTTAAAGTGTCCGAAGAATCCAGGACTTTTTAATAGAAAGAACAAACTCGTGGCAAAAACCTTGAAAAAATTCGAACTAAAGTTTTTGTTGTTTTTCTTGTTAAAGAAGAAGAAGAAAATCAAAATTTTCGGTAAACAAAAAATGTTAATTCATCAAAAATTTATTGCAATTTACTTTTGCAAATTAGTGGGAACTTTGCAAAAATGGTTTTTTTTACTAAATGTAACGTCCCATAATGTTTTGTATTTATCATTATTATTTTTTTTAATAGGGTGACTTAAATTAGTAAAAATGTATAATAAATAAAATGTATGATTTAAATAATAAAAAATGTTGAAATCAATTAAATATTCCTTAGGGAATGTTTGGGAGAAGCTCATGCACCAAGTGGATGTACTCAATGGAAGCAATGGTTGGAAAAGGTGAATAAAATAAGGCCTGAACAATTAAGTAATGACATGAAAAATTTAGAAGATGCTTCTAACTGTTTATGGTTGGTTTCTAATTCAAAACCTTGTCCCAATTGCAAAAGTCCAATTCAGAAAAATGAAGGATGCAATCATATAAAATGTTCTAAGGTTGGTGTTTTAGATATTTTATATTTTCACGTTAATATTTTATAAAATAACTTAAAAATTTTTTTTTTTTTTAGTGTAAATTCGACTTTTGTTGGGTTTGCTTAGAAGCTTGGAAAAAGCATTCGTCAGCTACCGGTGGTTATTTTCGATGTAATCGCTTTCCGGCTGCAATAAAAGCAGACGAAAAACAAGAAGTTTTAATTAATGAAGTAAGTATAAATAAATAAATTTATGATTTTTTTTTTTTCATTTCTGTTTTTTTTTTTTTTTTTTTTTTTTAATAAAAATTAATTTTTGTTTTTAGGCAGTTGCTAAAAGTCAACGGATTCAAGAGTTAAATAGATTCTTGCATTATTATACGAGATTTAAAAATCATGAACACAGTAGAAAAATAGAAGAATCTTTATTAAATGCCGTCAAACCCAAAATGGAAGTCCTCGCGTCTTCTTTAGTTGATCGAAAAAGTTTGTATCATTTTTTTTTTTTTTTTTTTTTTTTTATTCTATTTATAAATCGTTAATTTATTGTCTATAATGTTTCTAATTTTTTTTTTTGTTTTACAGTAAAATTATTCGAAAGAGGAAAAACGTGTACGAAATTTGTAGAAGATGGCGTTCGTGAATTATTAAAAGCTCGTAGAGTTTTATCTGGATCCTACGTTTACGGTTTTTATTTGGAAGATCACGGTTATAACAAAACCATTTATGAATTCATGCAGGTATTTTGGTATTTATATAATTAAAAAACGCGAACTGAAAAATTTATGAATCAGTAAAAATTTTCTTTTTTTTTTTTTTTTTTTCTGTAGAATGAGCTGGAAGTAGTTACGGAAAAATTATCAGAAATGATAGCTCGACCGTATTTAATAACTCCCCGTCATACAATTATTTTCACAACTTTACTCTCAAGAAGAAAAAGACACGAATTCGTTCAAGCCGTTTCTAAAGGTTTGATCCCGCCGGAAACGCCTCCTTCCTTCAGGAAAAAGAAAAAAAAATTACCCGGATTTTTTGTTTTGGATACAAATAACGAAGTATGATGAATGATTTTTTTTTTTTTTTACATTAAATATATATATGCATAAAAATAAAATGTTTGTAATTGTAGAAAGGGGAATCCCATGTTATATTCAAACGCGTCAAATCATTTGAATCATCTAAAGACGAGGAAAGCGAAAAAAAAAATTTTTTAACAATGAATGAATGGCCTCGTGAGTATAGATTGTATATATATATATATATATATATATATATATATATATATATATATATATATATATAATGAGTGTATCGAATAAATATTAAACATTTTTTTTTGTATACATTTAAGAAATCGACGGTGAAGAAGAATCGGAAATCAGTCGTTCTTATGCCGTATCTCTAATGAACGAACGTTATTTAAAAGGAAATCATTTATCAAATCAGGGTAATTATTCTAAACAGGCCCTCGATGAATTTCGAACTCAAAATGGATTTAAACGCGTTTTGCAAAGCGTTGCGAGCGAGGATTCCGTTGATCTTATTATTGCGTTGGAAATGTCGAGATTACAAATGATAGAAGATACTTTTAAACGAGCTAATCAGTAGGTTTTATTCATTAAATTTTTTTACCATCTGTTTGATCTGTTGTAATAATTTTTCATATTCTTTTTAGATTATCAAATAAATTAAAATCTAATACAAATTCCAGTAAGCAAACGGATTCGGATACAGATTTAAACAAAGCCATTGAATTATCTTTGACTCAAGACAATAATAAAATTGATGTAAAAGATGAGGAGAATTCTTATGAAAAAAGTTATCATCTCAGGTAAAAAGTCTTTCCAAAAATTTCGCATTTTCTCTTGATTTTCGTATTTATATTGTTTTTTTTTTTTTTTTTAGAAAAAACAGAGAGGATTTGACTGTTGATTCTTTTTTAAAAACTTTGGCGGGAAAAAATTTTCAAAACATGAATCAAATGTCCGACAGCATGCTTTCATTCGACAAGGATAAAGCATACACGGATAGAGAACTTTTAATTTTGAGGTAAGTGAATTTCAAATCGAGTTTTTTTTTAAATAAATGAAAAGATGTAATTTGTATTTATTATTTTAGACCTCGTCAATCTGAAGATGGAAGATTTGAAATTGGTGACATTCACGAAACTTGTTTTCACGAAGAAGATAAAGGAGAACAATGTTTGAGACGCGTTCGGTCCATGGGTGATTTATCCTATAATTTTTGCGAAAAAGGACGATTAAAAGGAGAACTCGGGTAAGTTAATTTTAAATTTTGTTCATAAATGAAAGGATTTAATTAAGAAAATTTTTTTTTTTTATTTAAATCAGGTATCATTTGGATTCGGATCATTCCAGTCAACATGACGACACGCCGGAAGAATCGACGAAATTGCCACCGCCAAAGTTTAAAAATATCGAAAAACCCGATTCAGGTTATTGTTGTTCATTTTTATTAATTGAAAATCTCTTACCAACGAAAAAAATAAAAAAATCTTTTTTTTAAATTCTTTTGCAGTTGGAATTGAAAATTCCGTTGGAGATGAAAAGAAATTTCAACAAATAACGGTCAATCACCGCCTTCCAACAAATGAATCACTTACAGCTGATTTGGAAGTTTACAACATTTTATCATCTAATGAGGTAAAAACTCAAAAAGTTGTTTAAAAGAAAAAAAATGGCGGAAAGTAAGTTTATATGTAATTTTTTAACACGTGAGAACTGTAAGTACAAATGATTGAAAGTAATCTGAGGAATACTTTATGACAATTTATTCACGGGTATGATTGATTGATTGATTGATTGATTGGTTAATCATCAATTATCTAATATTTTAAATATATATTTATTAATTTTACGTTAAACTAAAGTAAATCGTTTTTATATACACATATTATTATTATCAGTCGTGAGTTGGTGTTAATAAAAAAATAATGTTAATAATAAATAAAACATTATTAATTTTCCCATTTTTTTTCTTACACGCTGCGATTATTAATTATTATTGGACACACTTTCAAATCGAAGGGAAATTTTTTATTTAATTTGAATTCAAAGGATGAAAATAAAATAAAAAAAGATGTCGTCGACGTTTATCAATCGAATGTAAAAAAATTCAACGAACATAAAATATCTCGGGATAATATTTCGTCGGTAACAAAAAGAAAAAATTCAATAGGACATTTGGAAACTACGGAATATCAAATAAAAATGATGTCATCTCATAATAATTTTATTAATGTTAATAATAATAATGATCAAAAAAGTGAATTTTTAAGGCATTATCCTGAAAGAGCATCCACGGGAAAAATAAAAAAAAATATTTCCACATTACAAAATCAACCGAAATCTTCGGCTAGAAGTGCTATTAATTTAGGATACGTTAACAAAAGCGACAAACAATTTATATACGATGAAAATTCATGTACGACGAGGAGTCTTTTTTTGGGTAGTGAAAAAAATTTACACGAAGCACATAAGAAAGCATTCAAAGCAGCCGGTGGAAAAATATTATGGAAAAAAAAATCAAAATTTTTAGAACCTTTAAACGAACATTCGAATAATAAAAATAATGGAAATTTAAGAATTCGTATAGCTAAAAATTCTTTGGCAACGGATAGTTCGAATGAATACGAAACAGATACCGGAATACCAAAATCTCCGACATTGTTTATAAGCGGTGTTTCGATATCTCGAACACCCGAACCCGGAAATAACGAGAAAAAAAGTCCGGAAGTAAAAACGAAATTATCACCGGTGTTTAAAAATTTATCTAACGTCAACGGTCAAAATAATAGTTATCCGTTATTAAATGGAATTCCATCATCTTTGGATTTTAAATCTGGTAAAAAATGTGATTTTTTCGAAACTGATACCAATAATACTTTATCGAATGATAAATTAATTATTTTCGGTCGACAGGGTCGATCATTTAGTTTGACAGTTCCAAAAACCGTTAAAAATGTCGATGATTTTGAAAAGAAAAGTTTAAATGGTAGTTTTACATCCATATTACCACAAACGGGAAATGTTAAAAAGAGTAATTTGCAAATAACGACATCTTTTCCACCTTCGAATTCTATAATCGACGAATACGAAAGATATAATAATAGTAATAATAATAATAATAATGATGCAAAAAATATAATAGTAAATAGAAAAGAAGAAGAATATTTTCTCGATCCGTTTTCAAAATCCCCGGAAAAAAATAATTTAGATAGAATGGAACGTTTAAAAATAAAAAATAATTACGATGAAGAATTAAATAGTAATTCTTTAGATTGTATAAATAAAAGTATTAAATCGAAATCCGCATCGGAACCGGAAAGGGAAAAAGAAATGTTTAAATTTCCAAAATCATCAACGGATGGAGCTTTAAGTTCTGTTTTACACGTTCAAGAAAGTAATTTAAGTTCGGATGATTTTCACGAAGTTTTATTTTTATTAGAAAGATCACCTAAATGCGGTGTTAAAAGAAAGAAAAAATCTAAAAAAGAACGTGATAAAGTTAAAGAAAATTTAATATAAATTACTTTTATTCAAAAAGTGCCATTTTGTTTAGTGTAATCAATGATTAAAAAAAAAAAAAACATAAAAAAAAAGTGAGCACGAAATCGGTTAAAAACTTTTTAATTTTTTTTACTTTAAATTTAGCTTCCCGTTTTAAAAAAAAAATGTAGTGTGTCCATTAATAAATTAAATAAATATCTAAAAGTTTCTTATGTTGTTTTGTAAATATTTTAATTTTATTCCATTAATCAAATGTTTTCTCCCTCTTCCCCCCCCAATTTAAGAAACAAACTAATTAATAATATAATTATTTTTTAAAATTAACATACAGGAATAAAAATAATATTCAAAAATTAATTACTCTAGTACGATTATTATATATGTTTATTTTCGCGCCAAAATAATATTCTTTTGTTTACTAATTAAATTTATCATTCTCCATTATCGTGTTTAGCATTATTTAAAAACAAAATGATTAACTTTTAGTTTTAAATCATATATTTATGTAAACAACATCTTTACTTTAAAATAACGCTTTTTTTTTCGCTACGAGTGTATTCTGATACGATAGAATAACAAACACAAACGTGGAGCAAGAATCGATAATCGAATCGATAATCGAATCGATAATCGAATCATAATACAAGTAAAAATTTTAGTGAGTGGTTGATGGCGGTTGTTAAGAGTAATCAACATAAAAAATATATAAATAAAACATTTTTTTAAATAAATTCATTTATTGAATAATATTAAATACACATTTTTTAACACAGAATAAAATCTCAAGTTAATTTTTTAATAATAAATTCGAGTAATATTTTCAATCTGTTAATATAAATTTTTTTTTTTTTTCAAACGCAAACAATTCGATATAATAAAAATATACTTTAAAAACAAAAATACTTTTTCTAAATAAATATATATATAATTAAAGTAAAATACGAATAAAATTCATCAGATAAAAGCCTTTTTTTTTTTTTTAATCACCAATTTTTTTTAATAAAATTAATAATACCGTTGGTAGATGAATCGTGTGAGTTTATACATTTATCGTGTTTTAATTCCGTTTCAATAACTTTTGCTAATTGTTTTCCCAATTCAACACTAAAAACAATTTTTTTTTTTAATTTTAGTTAAAATTTTATACAGGTATGTATTATTTTTATAAATTACTCACCCCCATTGATCGAAAGAATTAATATCCCAAATCACACCTTGAACAAATATTTTATGTTCGTATAAAGCTGTAAAAAAAAAATGTTACAAATTTAGTAAAAAAAAAATTTTGAATTTTAAAAATTTTAAAAAAAGAAAACCTACCAATTAGAGATCCCAAAGTAAAGGGTGTTAATTTTTTAATGACAATTGAATTTGTTGGTCTGTTTCCAGTAAATACTTTATGAGGCAATAATCGAATAATGTCTTTTTCATCCATACCAGATGCTTCTAATTCTTTCTTAGCTTCATTTTCGGTTTTTCCCTTGGCCAGTGCTTCCGTCTGTGCTAAGAAATTTGCCAAAAGAATCTACAATAAAATAAACAAGATTAATAAATTTAATTAATTGTATTTATTTGTAATTAATTGTATGGAAATAAAAAAATTTTTCTTACTGTGTGATGTTTCATACTATCAATGGTTGTATGTTGAGCCGGGTGAACGCTTGCAATAAAATCGCAAGGTATTAAACGAGTACCCTGATGAATAAGTTGATAAAAAGCATGCTGTCCATTTGTACCAGGTTCTCCCCATATAATAGGACCAGTCGAATAATTGACTTGCTCTCCATTTTTGGTGATGTATCTGAAAACAATTTATTAAAATGACATATTCTATTAATTACAGTTAGAATGCATTAATTGAACTTACTTTCCGTTGGATTCCATATCTCCCTGTTGAAAATATGCGGGAAAACGATGTAAATACTGATCATAAGGCAAAATAGCATGTGTTTCAGCATTATAAAAGTTTGAATACCAAATTCCTAGCAATGCTAAAATAACTGGAGCCTGAAAAAATAACCATAAAATTTATAATAAAGAAAATTACATCATAGAAATCAGTAAAAATTTTGTTTTGTTGGTGTTTTTATGAACTTTTTATTTTGTGTTTTTGTAAATTAAAATTTATTTCATTTGTAAAAGAACAACTTTAAAAACATTTTAAAATAGTATCCCGAATATAAACTAACAAATATGTAAGTAAATTATATTTAATTTCATCTACATCCAAATACGATAAATCAAAAATTAAATTTTAGCATCAGAAGAATTATTAAAATTAAATGTCTTTTTTCAACACTTGTATAGTTTAAATACTTGCATTTTTTTCTAAACTAGCTGATTTGAAATGACAATCCATAAAGTAAGCACCTTCTAATAACTTTTTGAAATTTTCAAATCCTAAATAAAGAGATATGGATAAACCAATAGCTGACCACAAAGAATATCTTCCTCCGACCCAATCCCAAAACACAAACATATTTTTTTCATCTATTCCAAATTCTTTTACTTTGGCAGCATTGGTTGATATTGCGACAAAATGTTTGGCTATAGATCCCACCTAAAAATTTAAAATATTTGCCTGTAAATAATAATATTATTAAAGTAGAATCGGTATTAAAAACTGACAGAAAAAAAAAATAAATTAATAAAAGATTTTTTAAGAAGTAAGAAGGATTTTTTAACTAAAATAAAAGCTCACATCATTAGAATATTTAAGAAACCATTCTCTAGCTGATAAGGCATTTGTTATAGTTTCTTGAGTTGTAAATGTTTTGCTAGCTATGATGAAGAGAGTTGTTTCTGGATTGAGACATTTAAGGACTTCTGCCAAATGAGAGCCATCAATGTTTGATACAAAATGTACTTTTGGACCAACAGCATATTGTTTAAGTGCTTCAGTTACCATCAATGGTCCTAAATCTGAACCTCCAATACCAATGTTTACAACATTTGTAATTTCTTTTCCAGTAAAACCAAGCCATTTTTTAGACAAAACCTAAAATTAAATTTTTATTTTTTTTTCTTAAAGTTCAAATAACAAATTTTAAATTAATAAAAAAAAATTTATTAACTTCTTCTGTAAATTCTTTCATATGATTAAGAACTGAGTTAACATTAGGCATGACATCTTCACCATTTACAAATATAGGAGAATTAGAACGATTTCTTAGGGCAACATGAAGGACTGATCTCTTCTCTGTAACATTAATTACTTTTCCTTCAAACATTGCATCTCGATTTTCCTCTACTTTGCATTCTCTGGCCTGAAACAAAATTAAAGTTTTACAATTTATTTAAAACTTAACTTGTTTGCAAATTGTTATATGCAATGCTACAGCCTTATATAAAACCTATTTTGAAATTTTTAGTTTTATTTAAATTTACACTTACCAGTGCCAAAAGTAAGTCTAAAACCTTTTGATTTATTCTATTTTTTGAATAATCAATTAAAATTTCCCCATCTGATGGAGTTAACAATTTTAAGCTAAACACAACGAGAATTTTATTATTAAAAACTAATGAAACTTTTTAAAAAAAAAACCTAAGTTTATTTAAAACTTAAATTTTTTATTAAAAATTAAATAAATACCTGAATTTTTCGAACCTATTAGGATCTTCCGTAAATAATTTATTTATGTTTAATTCATTTTTATTATCTTCAAAATACTGTTTAAGGTTTTTGAAAGAAGATTTTTCCGAAAGTAATACTTTATTTTCCATAATTAAAAAAGTAAATAAAAATGACTTTTACTGACGTTAAAAGGTCACTTTGTCTTTAAAAGTCAAGCCAACTTTTATTAAGTTGGCCATACTGTCACTAAAAAATTTTTTCTTTATTTAAGCTCTCACGGATTACATAGTTTAAATCGTAATTCATTTTACATTCATTTATTTATTAATTTTCATTTATTTTTTCCATTACATACATATTTTTTTAAATAATTTCTTCTTTCTTCATCATTCTTTAATTATAAACAAACATTTTTATGTATTATGTAAATTAATAATACACACATTTCATACAAGTACTTACTAATTTTAAGTTTAGAAGGGAAAACTTTATATTTATTTATCTTTGATGTATTATATTTTGGATATGAAACAAAAAATACTCAAAATTTAACGAAATTTTTAAAAATTATAATGTGCTTTCAATATATTTTAATATATTTTAATATATAATTATAATTAGTATTTATTTCATATGTCATAATTGAAGTATTTCTTTGGATGAAACTTGACTTTTACAGTGTTAATTTCTTTTTTTTTTTTTTTTTTTTTTTTTTTAATTAAAGAAAACTCATTAAGCTTTTGAACTTATTATTATCGAATAAAATATTTAAATATATTTTCTGGAAAATGTATTAATATCATAGTATAGGATGTGGATCCAGATATAGGACAGATGAAATTTAATGTTAAGTATAAAAAAATAAATAATCATAAATAAAGATTCGGTATTATAATATAAAATAAAAGGAGTAAAATGGTTTTTTGTTATTTTGTGATGTTGCAAAAACGAGAGAAAAATATTATTATTATTATTATTATTAGTAAGAGAGAGAGAGAGAGAGAGAGTGAGAGAAAATTTAGATTCATCCCTTGATTTTACGTAACGGCGCAAAGTTTCATCTGGCCGCCCCCGAGCGCATGTTCGTTTTATGTGAGCTTTGCAAATCAGTTCCATCGAACTAGGGCTATTATGACCCCAGATATGCATTTCATTTTCAATTATTATATCATTCAGATATTTATATAAAAATTAAATTAAAATAAAATATTAATAAAAATAATTCGATTAAATAAAATATAAAATCGTGTTTTTTGAAAAAAAAAAAAAAAATATTATATCGTTATAAAAATAAACACAATTTTTTTTTTTTTTTTCATCTCTGTTTAGTTATTTTGAGGGAAAAGTAAAAATGATTTTTCAGATGAAAGTGGGAGTTTTTTTGTCTTCATCATGATTATTTATAATTTTTTTTTAACAAGGCAAGTTAAATTTATTTTTGTGCAAAATTCTATAAATATATACATATATATTTATATGTAACTAAAATGTTTATCATGAATATTTTTATTTTATTTTTTTTTTATAAAAAAAAAAAAAAATGTTTTCTATTACAAAACTAAACTCATGCTATTTGTTAATTCCTCTTAATTATTTTTAAATTTTTTTCTAAAAATTTTTTATTTCATAACAAAAAAGAAAACTTTCATTAAGTTTTTCATTTACTTTAGTATAAGTTTAAATATTTATGATTTACATTTTTTGTTAAATATTTAAAATTTCATTTTTTTATGTTAAGCTTTCTTTCAACAACTAATCATAATTAAATATAATTTTTTTTAAATTTATTTATCAGTGAGTACTAATTATGAATTTTTTATTTAAAATTTATGAAAAAGTACAAAATCCAATAGTATTAATTATAATGATTAATAAATAATAATGTGATATCTTTTTATTTTCAGAAATTTATGGATGTTGAATTTTTATGAATATGAAGTTGACATGTGTCACTTCTTTGAATGGCTACTATCATAAGAAGGTAAAATATTAAATTATGGGAAGCAGTTGTTCTTCCAGGCAAGAACACAAAGACAAAGATAGTGTTTCAACTAAATCTGAAGAGTGAGTATATATAATTATTTCTTTTTCTGTTATTAAACATCCTGGACTCTTATTGATTCAAACAATTTTTGATAAATGATATTTATAACATAAATATAATGGTATGTAAAATGGAGAGTTTAACGGTTTTATCAAACATTGAAAAATTTAATAAAAATTCTCTTTCATTTTATATTTAATATATTTTGTTTTTTATTTGATTTACTTTTTATTACTTTTATTACTTTGTATACATTTTATCTATAATTTCTTTTCTATTTGTTTTTTAAAAATATTTTAATGAGTTATGTATAACTGAATTTGAAATTATTTTTACAACATATTAAAATATTTCATTAAACTCATAGATCAGGTTTAATAGGTTTTAAAAATCTTTTTAATCAATATTTATTTTTTGTTTTTTTTGTTTTAAATATGGATTAACATAATAAAAAAAAAATGTATATATAATTGGGAAAAAACAATAGAAAAAAAAATGGACGTTCTCATTTGTTTTCCGTTACTATATGAGTATTACGTCATAGAAAAATTTTACGTTAGCTCTGACGTCAATCGTTCGGCCGGGCATGGCAAACGAACTTTCTCGACTTTTAATATTCGGAAACCTTTTTTTTCCTTTTTTTTTTTTTTTTTTTTTTTAATTATTTAAATTATTTTTGTTTTTTTAAAAAAAATATTTATATGTACTAAAATTTAAAGGAAGTTAAACTTTTTAAGGGAGTATTAATGGAAAAGAAGAAAAAATTATTTTAATTTTGCTTTGGACAGAAATATATAAAAATTTGTCATGAATTATAAAAAATAATTTTTCTTTTTGGATTTATTTAAAAAACTTTTTAACTGTTTAAGGTCACCAGCTTATCAAATTATAATAAAGAAAAATACAGAAGATGATGAATCAAAATTTGGTGAAAATAAACCTCAAACTGGATTAATTTTAAAACCAACTGAATTACCCTCTGAAGAATATGCAAAACCAAGAAATGCTGTTACTAGTATTTCAGGTAAGAAAAAAAAATTGTTTTCTTTTTATAAAAAATGTTTAATGTTTAATGTTTTTACTTTTTCAGATTCTAATTCATTGCCATCACCTCCTATTCTAAGCCCTAAAGAAATTACAGAACCACCACTTTTGCCTGATGAGCTCACTCAACTTCCAGAATCTTTCCAGAATTTGATCACAGGGAGAATTGCAAAACACAGTTTAAATTTTAAGAGCAGAAAAATTGTTTTATATGTATGTGCTGCTGATTCCCAAGGTGTGTGTTTTATAATCCAAACCATATACATAATGTCATCCAAAATTTATTTTTATCTTTTTATATTTATATATATTTTTATTTCTAGATTGTTGTGTTGAAAAAGGAGTTCTTCATCAAGTTGTAGGCCCTGAATTGAGAAATTACTGCAGAGATAAAGGTTATGAATTTCACATAACTGATTTACATTGGAAAACAGGATTGGAAAAACAACAAGATCATGAATTTCCCGAATTGTGTTTGGAAGAACTTGCACGTAAGTTTTAAAATATATTTATCATTAAACAAAATATATATAAGTATTTATTTATTGATTTACATAATAAATAAAAAATTTTTGATTAAGGTCAAATGGAAGTTGGTTACATTATACCGGTTTTGTTTCTCTCAAATTCATTGGGAACACCATTATTACCAAAAACAGTTGAAACACAAGATTTTGAAATGGCTCTCAGTCAAGCTGAAGATAAAGATAGTTTAAAAAAATGGTACAGGTTGGATTCAGATGCTCAACCTCCTTGCTACAGATTAGTTCCAGTTGCTTCTCATATTCCAGGATTTAAGGTTCTTTTATTTAAAACATAAAGTGTATTAAACATTATAAATAAACTTTTTTCTTTATTAACATGTTAATGTTTTCAAAGGAAAATTCTTGGAAAGAGAGAGAAAAAGCATTAGAAGAATGGAGAAGTGAAATTGAAAAAACTTTGACTGTAATGATATCAGCTTTTTCAGAAGAATTAAGAAACACATATTTAACAACTGTTGTAGAACAGGTATGACTAAATTATTCAAATTTATTATTTAAATACAATTGAAGAGTTTTTAATTTTTTAGGAAGTGCATAATACAATATTAATGTCTCAAGAATTGGCAAGAAGATGTTTGTGGTTATACCGTGTTTTTACTCAGAAACCTGAATCTACACAAACTTTGAGTTTACTTGCACAGGAACAAAAGAGGAGACTTGATATAGTTTATAAAGAATTAAGAGTAAGTAAAAAAAAAATTTGAAATTTTATTTAAATTAAGCCTACTGTTTAAAAAAATTTTTTCTTTTTTATTTCAGAGTCAGTTAACTGAAAAGCACATTGTTAGAGTTAATGTTAAATGGAATCAAGATGGAATTGTGGACAAAAACATTCCAGAGCATGTTCAATATATAAACGATGTTACATCTCATCTTACAAAATATTTAAAAGCAACAATATTTACTATAATTGAAGAAGATCAATCGAAGGTAAGATTTTAAATTTTAATTATTTATCTCGTATTAATTACACAAATTTTTAACGTTTTATGTTATTAACTATTGATTTCGACAATAAAAAATTTAAATTTTAAACAGGCTGTAATAAGATCAATGTTTGGTATCGAAGCACAATTTTTAAACGAAATAAAATGGCAAGCTCTATTTTGCCAAAAAGCAGTACAAAGTTCCGTCATGAGAGAGGAAATTTTACAAAGCATACAAAGGTTTCAAATTTTATCATTAGATTTCAATAAAACTTTTTACATTTCTATATCTTTCGCCTATAATATAATTTTTTTAGCTACGTCACGAGCGATTCAACGAGTCCTTTGCTGATACATGGTGTGCAAGGCTCTGGAAAAACAACAATATTATCTCGTGCCGTTCATTGTATTCAAACATGGCTTCCAGATTCGTACTCATTATTTAGATTTGCTAAAATTTCAGAATTAAGTTATACCTTGACTGACATATTAAAAACCGTTTGCGATCAGTTATCGTTGTTAAGCAATGGACATCAAACTTTTTGCAATTACGTAAGAAAATAAAATGTTTCTTTTTTAATCGAGAGTACTTAAGGCTTTTCAATGTGAAAATAAATTTTTTTTTTTTTTTTTTTTTAAATTAACAGAATACAAATACATACGGGACAGAATTTTCGAAACTTATAACGACGTCATCGTTTCAACGTTCGGTCGTCATTCTTTTAGATGGTCTCGATCATTTAAAAAATTTAAATTTAGAATGGCTACCGTGGAAATTACCAACCAATGTCAAATTAATAATAACAGCCAGAACCGAGAGTAGTTTATATAATAAATTTAAATCAAATTTACAATCAAACAATTTTCTCATTGAAGTAAGGGAGAATTTTTAAAAATTCACGCACCATTTTTTTTTTTCCTTTGAAAAAACTTTATATTTTAATCATTTAACAATTTTAGATTCCAGAATTAAGTAAATCGGAAGCCGAAAGATTACTTTTATCCTCTGTTTCACAATATAGCCATTCCGTGAGTTCAAAAGCAGCACAACGTGTTCTTTCCGTTTTGCAATTTTGTCGGCTTCCTCTTTACGTTAAGGTTTAATTTTATTTATTATTCATTATAAAAATAAATTATTGAATTCCGTTAACAAATAACTTTTCAAATTTTAGGTTCTTGCATGGAGAGTATCTTGGTTTACAGAAATAGAACATGAATTTGATCCGAAAGTTAATTTAAAAGAAGAAATGAATTCAATGTTGGATTATGTTGATGCCATGTTAGATTCGAACAGAGTTAAAATGGCCGTTTCACTTATTGTTGCTTCCAAATACGGTTTGAGAGATTCAGAATTACTTGATATATTTTCAAATCAAACAATTTTCCATTCGGAAAAAACTTATTGTACGTTTTAAAAATAAAATTTATTTTATGGAAAATTATTATTATTTTTAATTTTTATAATTGAATATTGTATTGAAATTATAGTAATTAATGTTTTTAGTACGATGGGCTCCGGCATGTTTGTTTTTGAGTAGATTTCTCAAATATTTAAATCCATTTTTTCAATGGGTATCAGATGGTAATAATTTGACGTTAAAAATTAGCGATAATACATTTGAAGAAATTATTAATCAACGATACGTAAAAGAAAATAAAATTTATTCTCAATTGATTTATGAATATTTTAAAGTAAGTCATTCCATCTTTTTTTTTTTTTTTTGGGTCATTCCAAATTTTCTTTTTGTGGTTAATTATTTATTTTTTTTTACAGAACGAAAAATTCAATTCCATTGAAAAACCTGCAAATCAATTGAAGAGATTTGATATATCGTCTTATAAAAGAAAACTGATTGAATTGCCTTATCAATCAATTATATTAAATTATAATACCGTTGATGATTTTCTTTTAAATGAAAAATGGCTTTATGATAAAATATGCGGATGTGGAGTTTTTCAAGTATTTTATAATAATAAAAATAAATGATTAAATATTATTGTTATTATTGTTATTAAAATTTTTTTTTTTTTTTTGTAGATTATCGATGATATAAAGGAAATAAATGGAAAATTCGATATATCGAATGATTTGTTACTACTGCAAAATATATTAGAAAACAATCACAAAGCGTTAAATTATGACGGACGACAAATGTATACTTATTTTTTTAATGAATTAAATTCGAAATGTTTGAATGAAAGTCATTTTTGGGAATCGTTTTATAAAAAAATAATAAATCCTCCAATAAATTCTTTAATGCCTGTTAATAAAGAAACGCTGCGGGTCAGCGATTTCTCTCAATCGCCTTTTGAAAATACAAAAAATAATCAACAAGAATCTAACGAAAATATTAATTTAATTTTACGTTTAATTGATAATCCAAATTTTATGGTTTCCGTATCGACGAAACAAGAAGAAATTGCCGTGTGGGATTTATTCACGTAAGTTCGCTAATTAATTTATTAAATTAAAATAAATTTTAATTTAATAATTATTGCTTAGCAGTTGTGAAAAAGTTCGTAGTATCAAAGGTGTTACTCATCCGACATCATTACAATTAATCGATGATTATAGAGCTGTGGTTCTTTGCTGTCGCGAATTAAGAATATATAATTTAGATGATGGAGTATTAGTAACAAGGTTAAAAGGTATAATTATTTAAATTCCTTTAAAAAAAATTAATATGAATTATTATTATTATTATTATTGTGTTTTGATTTTCAAAGGTGTTATGAATCAAAAAATGGCCTTTTTCGGTTTGCACGATAAAAATCATCTTGTTACATTAAGTAGAAATAGAATGTATGTAAACTTGATGAATTTGGATAATGGAGATTGTATAACAACGTTCAAAGCTGGAGAAGATAGATTTTTAAATTCCCTGCTCGTTTCCGGTGATGGAAGGTAAAAATTTCATTATAAACTCACCTACTATAAAAACTCACTAAATGTTTTTATTTTATTTTATTTTTTTCCAGAATATTAGTTTGCGGGGATGAAACACAAAAACCATTTCCGTTACTCGTATGGAATTTATCCAGTAGAAAATTATTATATGACCTCAGAATACCACATCATGATTTTATAACGAGTTTAAGTGCTATAACTCATGAGGGTCATTATGTTTGTTGTGTTGCTAAGGTACGATGGTACTCATTTTACAATCAATATTTATGTAGGATAAAATAATAATCTGGAAAATTAATTTTCAGGAAGTTATTGAACCCGGACCAAATTTTATAGTCGTGTACGATCTGCAAAATGGTACACTTTTTAAAAAATGGAAACCAGGTGTTGACACAACATCACTTGACATTTCATCAAAAGATTCTTGCGTCATTTCCGGTCTCGCTGATGCAAGAATTTTAGTATGGGATTTAGTAACGGGTACGTCGTTAAATTTTAAATAATTTTTTTTTTTTTTTTTTTTTGGGTAATAATAATAATAATAATAATAATTTTTAGGGAATTGTCGATGGAGTTTTCGGGGACATTCGGCTCCAGTGACTCTTGTTAGAAAAGATCCCTGCGGTGGTTCATTTTTATCTGCTGATATTTTAAATAGGGATAGATCGATCAGAATATGGGATCTCATCAAAGGTACATCGAGTTGTAGTAAAATAATTTAACAATTGTAAAATTCTAATTTTATTTTTTTTTTAAGGAGAATTATTGGCGGTGTACACACCCCCCAAGCCTTTTAGCGCTTGCGAATTAGGTAAAGGAGGTAAAATGGTTGCACTTACACTTAAGGGTGAACTCGATATAAAATCGTTGATATTAAAAGGACCGGAAATAGAAGAAATTGGAGAAAATACAGTACCATATGGTAAAGTTGAAAATAATGGGAAAACGTTTATACTGACTGAAAATCAAGAAGGAAGATGACAAAATATCGAATAAAAAAAAAGAAAACAGTTTTGTCATAATCATCAAATAAACTTGTATATTTAATTTACTTATTTTTTCTTCATAATTTTACTTTTTTTTTTTCTCTCTCTCTCTCTTTATTATGTAATTATAATATTTGACAATGATAAGAAATAATTTTAATCAGGTAAAAAATTAAATATTTATAAAAATCAATTTTAATTATCATTAACACAAACAATTTCTTATCATAATAAAATGTATTTAAATAATTTTAAAAATACACATTGGATAAAAATAGTATAAGTTTAACTTTTTGTTTTTTCTTCAATTTTTTTTTTTTTTTTTTATTACAATAAACTTTATTTTATTTTTTATAATTTTTAATTATTTATTTATAAACAAAAAGAAAATTTTATTAATTTATTATTAATATTTAAAGCGATGTTAATACATATCAAATATTTTTTTCAAAATAATTCAAATACTTTTTAAATTGGGCAAATTTTTTCTTTTATTTAATATTATTAAATATTATTATTATTATTATTGATTATAAAAATTATTTATTTAAGGTGAAATCTTTACTTTTTTAAACAAGAAAAAAAAAACATGTATTAGATTATTATGTATAAAAAAAAGATTCATTTTGTTTTCATATTCGTATTCCTTCTCAATTTACATACATAAATAGTTCAAGAGATAGAAATTATTAATAATTGTTTTAAAATTATTTAAATAACAACAATCGCACCATATTTAATTTTTCAAATTAATTTAATATTAACGGTAATGCAACGAAAAAAATTAAAAATTTCGGTTTTGGGTAATTTGTTAAAAATTCATTTAAATTTAAATGAAAAGTTTATAAAGTCCTCCTCATGATAAATTATTAATAAAATTAATTATTAATGTTTTTATTTATAAAACTATTGTTGTTCATTAATTAATAATTTATTTTTTGTTTATTAATTTAATTTTAATTTTTAATTGTGTTAGTTATTATGTATAATTTTTACTTGTAAATAATAATCAGTATAAACAATAAATTACTTGTAACTATTTAGAAAAACTTTGTTTTTTTTTTTTTTTTTTCTAGACGGAAACAGGTATGATTAGGGATTCTCATGTACGATTACCCGCACAAGTTGGCAGCCTGATAAGATTGAACTCTTATCGGGTAACGTCTTATCAAAAATTTTATTTTATCAGGAGTGTTACGAACGGTAGGGATGATATGACAAGAGATGTAAAATTGACCGTTAAATTCGTGTTTGTAAAGCTTGGAAGTTTAGCTACAAGATATTTAATTTCTTTTTTGTTTCTCTCCAAAATAGTTTTTGATTAATGAGGTAAATTCAAGGCAGTTTGTGGTCATGTCTCGTAGCAGGAGCAATATGATATGAATTGATACGACAAAAAATTGTAGTGTTCGATGAGTACGAAAGGAATACCGGGGCCATATTAATGGTAGGATTATAAAAGAAAAAAAAAAAATACGAAACGTTTTGTTGTACTCCTCTACAATGGAGATTCAATAAGAAAATCCCATGAAGTGAATTAAATTTTTTAATGTCGGAAAAAAAAGATATGAATAAATATGTTGGTTGTTATTTAAAAGTTTTTTAATGCATTAAAATATTTCATAAGATTTTGTTTTTATTTTTAAAACAAAATTGATTAGAAAAAAAGTTTTTTTTTTTTTTACAGGTTGGTAGTAATTAATCCGTATGAACTCTTGCTCTCTAGTTTTTTCGTGGCAATAGATAAAACTAAACAAAGTGTTTTGGACTAAGATAATATTTATATCAATTGGTCAGATTAAAAAAGGTTTTTTTTTTTTTTTAATATTTTTTTTGTTTTATTGCAACAAAATGTTTTAATAATGTCGAAAAAATAAATAATTTATTTATTTTTTTTTAATAATTCTAAAATTGTTTCTAAACAGTTAAGAATTTTAAATGCTTTTATAATGCACAAATCAGCGAAATAATAGGTACGTACGTACTTAAGAATTAGGAAATGAATTTTTTATGTGAAATTTTTTTTTTTGTAAATTGTAATTTTTATCCCCCCCCCCCCGCTTCTTATTGTTAAGTTTTTTTTTCAATGACATCGTATACTATTAATAACTCATTATCGATGTCTTATTTATAAAAAAAATTAATTCTTTTTATGAAATTAACAAATAAAAATGCGCATGTCCTAATTTATTAACAAAAATTGAAATGCATTATTAACACCTTTAACCTTGATATAATGGGCCTAATGAAATTATTTGAAAATATCTTATTTGAAAAAAATATAAAATAATTTCTACATTAACAGCTTCAATTTAAAAAAAATGTTTTTGTTTGGTTAATTAATAATTATAATTTCAACATATCAACAGCCTTTTATATGAATTTTTAATTATGTAATTATTCTCAACATAATTTGTGTTATTTTCTCTAAATCTTTATATTCGCTTATAAAATTTGCTTGTTAAACATTTGTTTGCTTAAAACTTGTAAAATTACTGTTTTTTATTTATTGCATATCTATATTTATAGACTTAGTAGTGCGTAGTTGATATTTGTGATGAAAAAAAGTATTATTATTATTATTATTAGATATTAAGTAAACTTACATTATATTTTAATGTTTACAATTAGCGTTTTACATATTGTAAAAATACATTCAAAAGTTTACAATTTAAAAGAGTGTATACACTAAATTAAACATTTTGAAAAATTTGAAAAAATCAATATTGTAAGAGAATATTAGTTTCCCATTGTTCTTTTGTCAAGGACCTATTGTTACCATTATTCAATTTAATATTTATCTTTTTAAATATTAAAAATGTACAAAAACTTTGTCATCGGCAAACAACTATCAATAATAACAATAATAATTTGTTTCGATTGTTTTATTAAATTGTAGTATGTATTTATATATGTAAATATTTATTTTATTTTATTTTTAACTGAATGAAAAACAACAATATTTGATAATTTACTGCAATGATAAAAAAACCATTTTTGAGGATAAAAATTTTAGATTATTCATTCGATAAAAATTTCTTAGTAATCATTTCACCTAATTTTTTTTTAGACTCGTTAACTTGAATTTCTGGTAAAACTAACATATAAACAAAGTATAACAGTTTATTAAAAATCAAGAGTTTTTTTTTTTAAACTCTATCATTTATTATTTAATCAGTTTAAAAAATTTCAGTTGTGATGGCTCAACTTGTGAAATTATCAAGACAAAACACTTTGTCTACTTTCATGGCTTCATATATTATGTCTTGCCCAGGAGAAAATTGTTCTGGACATGGTGAATGTATGAATGGAACTTGCTTATGCGAGGTAAAACAAAAAACATAATTGTTTTATTAATGTGTAGATTGGAAAATTTAAAAAAAAAAGTTAAAATTAAAAAATTTTTCAAGATTCAATATGATGGAGAAGAGTGTTTAACTCCAAACATACCTTATTATGTGGGCTTTGCTACTGTTTTCTTCATACTCGCATTAGTATGCATGATTCAGTTAATTATGTGCATAGCAGCAGAATATCATAAAATGAAATCGCCATCAGTACTTAGGGCTTTTCGTATAACAACTCAGAAACTTCTTTACTTTCTTGTATTTCTCGCTGCTGTTATAAGAGGAGCCTATTTTACAAGCCCGGTGAGTATATATACAAGTATTAAAACATGACTATCATTTCATAATTGGTTTTATTCATTTTATTTTAATTCTACAAAATTTATAATTTAAATTTATTTTTATATAAATAAATTTTAGACTGCTTTTCGAGAAGGATGGTCATCTAGTTTAATGAGTGCTTATTATCCATTATTGCTTTCCGGCTCATCTCTTCTGGTTTGCTTTTGGGCAGAAGTGAGTGTGTGTGAATAAGATTTTTTATTACAACATATATTTGTTATTTTATGACTATTTTTTCACATTTATTATAATTATCATTGTATAATTATGATATTTTTTTTTTTTAGGTGTTTCATTTGCAAGATAATCATTGGGAAAGAAATCAGTTCTTAAGCAAATCCTTTTTAGGATTTGTAACATTTAATATATTAACATATTCATTACTCATTGCTGAATTTATAATGACCAAAATTTCAATGACCGCTGAAAAAAAAGTAATTATTATTATTGTTTTTTTTTTTTTTTTAAATAATTTAATAATCATTATTATTATTAAATTTATAAAAAAAAATAATTTCAGCTTTTGCAGCAGCATATTTTTAATGGTTGCTACGCAGTTTTGCTATTCATTGTCGTTATTTTCTTTTTGATTTATGGAGTTGAAGTTTATTTTAAGGTAAGATTGATTTAAATATTTTATCAATGTCATCATGAAACTAAGTTTTTTTTAAAATGATAATAATAAATGTGTGCATTTGATAAGTTGGGCAATAAATTTTATTAATAAATAACAATCAAAATTATCATATGAACAAGGTCTTTTATTTATTTATTTATTTTTCTTTGGTTGGTCACACCGAATTTGATAAATACCGTTAAAATGTGCCATACCATTATTATTACCGTAGTGTCCAATGTATAAAAAAAAAGTATTTAAATTAATATTTTATGTATTTTTTTTTTTTTTTTTTTTTTTTTTAGGTTCGAGGAGGATTTCTCGGGGAATCCGTTACGAATATATCAACCCGAACACCGACAAGCGAAAAAAAAGAACCGTCTCAGGTGTCGACCAAATTATGCACAAATTTACAGGTATTATAAAAAAAACGTATAAAAATGTATTATTATTATTGTTATTTTTTTTATGTATATATACATATGGCAAAATTACTAATGGTGATTAATTTAATGATGGATGTTCAGTCAAACATAATAACCGGTGTCGATATATCTCAATTAAATCAAAGTCGTTTGGGTCTTCTTTCGCAAGCTTTTATGCTTATAATTGTTGTCGGATTTTTGTTCAGTGAAACTTTGGGTGAATTTTGGAAATACAAGTAAGGTTTAACTTATCGAGTTTTGTATATTTGTAACGTTGAAATTAAAGTTGTGTGTAAATAAAAAAAAAAAAAAAATATTTGCAGAGCTCCGATTTATACGAGAAATTGGCACGATATTGCTTTTCGAATAGTTGAAATCGGTGTCGTTTTGTGGTTTCCTTGCGTTCTTTGGAATTGTATGTCACCGGATCAACTTTGGATTTTAAATCCTAGAAAATTATTAAAGAAATTGGAACAGCCGGCTTCGCAATTAGAATTTGATAAAAATAAATGTGATACTATATCCACTGGTAAGTGTTATTGTTTTTCTATTCCCATCCTGCTCTTACTATTTGTACGAAATCATTTCGAATCAAACATTTTTTTTTTTTTTTTTTCAAGATGGCAGTGAATCGATTAAAGACTGTTGGATTTGTTATGACATTGAGAGAACCGATGCCGGACCTTTAATTCAACCTTGTCTTTGTAGTGGTGACGTTTCCAGTGTTCATCACGATTGTTTAAGACGTTGGCTAGTTGAGGTTTGTTTCTTTTTTTGTCTTCTTTCCTTTCCTTTCCTTTCCTTTCCGTTAACGTTATAGATAATGTTCGGTTTTGTTTTGCTTTTAGAGCTCTTCTTCGTCTACGAAAGAACCCCTTGCTTGTAAAGTTTGTAATAGTCCGTACGAAGTTGAAAGAACTCAAAAACTCAATTGGCAAAACGGTTTCAATTCTCAACATTGGTTAAAAACGGCCGTTATTGTGACTGTTATGTGCGTCACAGGAGCAGGAGCTTGGGCTGCCATCCAAGTTTTCACAGATCAATACATACGATTACTTTCTGCGAGTTTAGCTATTTTAGTGTGGTATATTTGCGCCAGGTACAAGAACAAAACATTTTTTAATACCAAGTAATTTCATCACGTAATAATAATAAACAAATTTTTCATTTGTAGGTTTTTGGGAATGAATACCGTGGTCGCATATCACAGAGCTAAAGTATCAGGTATAAACATTGTAGGTTCGGTACCGACCATGAGCGCAGTTGTAGAAAGACAGAAAATAGAACCAGTACGTACGCCAAATTTAAAATCTTCATTGTAAGCCAAAGAATTTATGCAGTTTATCAGAAAAGAAAAACCGGTTTTTTTTTTTTTTTTTCTTTACGAAGCATTCGAAATATTTCAAATTAAATTTTTTAACTTATTTATTAGCTTTAAAAGCTTATATATAGTATATTTAACGCTGTAGTTTAATACAGTAATCCAATGTTTTATTGTATTTTATATAGATATAAATAAATAATAATTTATATACTTATATTCAAAAAGAAAAAGGAAAAAAAAAATGTTTACATTAAATATATTTCATTTAATTAGTCTTATTAGGGATTTTCAAAAAAACGCCATTTTTTTTCTTTATTCTAATAGAAAAAAAATTAATTAATCTTCTTTGTAGTAATGTCATTTCAAATTCGATAAAATTTCACTGTTGTATTATTATTATTATTAAAATAACGTATTTTTAAATATATCTATATATATATAATATATTCGCATATAAAATCAGCGTAAAAAAATTTAAATATATGTTAGATTTTTCGACATGCTGTCGGTTTATCATGTAAAATTAGACTGTAGAATACATTTATTATTATTATTTTGTTTTGTATAATTATTATATTTTACGAAATAAATAGTATTTACATACGATTACGAATTTGTTATCATTAAAAAAAAAACATTACATTTAATTAATTTAATTAAACAATTTATAGGTTATACTCTATGGTAAATTTTTAGGGATTCTTATTATTTTGTGAATAAAATTTCACAAATGTATTATTTAATTTTATTTATTTAGTTGTTTGTTAGAGATTAGTTTTTGTTTTTTTTTTTCCGTAATTTGACAAATATAATTGGTATGAAAACATCCATATGTTGTAATATTATCACGATTTCCATTTTAAAAAAATGATTACCTGTCATCATATTTCAATTTTACATCAGCCATTATGGTATGATTTAAAATAATAATACTTTTTTAATACATTTGAATTTTGATTGTGTCGATAATTAAACGATAACCGGAAGTTACGTATTATATCGAGTTGAGATGTTGTGAATTTAGGTAGTGCAGACAAGCACGGAAATGCTAAGTGAAAAGTTAAAAGTTAACAAAAAGTAAAAAAAATTGATTATTAATTAATATAGTTTATTTTTAACGGTGTTTTTTGAATAACTAATTAATTTAATTCATTAAATATGTATATTTACAAAAAAAAAATTAAGTTTTTTATCTTATAACAACATTAAATTCGTTAACAACGTTTTTTTCAAGTTTACCATGAATTTCTCTCAATTCTGGCAAAGTGAATGTTTTTACAAGTGATCTATAAACGATTCTAAAACAATATGACGTTCTATTTGTTTTTTTACAATTATAAACATCAATGAGTGAAACTTCTTCGACGATATCACCGCAAACTTCTCTGGTAAGTTCATAAAAATCATTACAATTAAATTCATTACTACTAATCCAAAAACTAATATCAAAATAACTCGAAGGGTAAATGCTGAACGGTTGAAACGTGATTTTATCATAGCAACTTTTATTTTTGAACTGATTTAAAAATCCTGGTACTTCAGACCAAAAAAGTCTTATGTCAGGTATTGAATAGTAAATCATAGCTAATCTTTCCAATCCTAATCCGAAAGCCCATCCAATTTTATCTGAACATCCAGCTGTCGAAATACAACAATCAATGAATCAATCTTTTATTTATCAATTTCAAAAAATCAAAATGATGACTACCTTTTTCTAAAATTTTGTGTTCTATGATGCCACAACCGAGCATTTCAATCCATTTATCATTTAATAAAATTTCCAATTCCCAAGATGGATGTGTAAAGGGAAAGTAAGCGTCAACCCATTTGAATTTTACATCTGATCCGAAAAGATCTTTTGAAAGATTTTCTAATGCTGATTTTAAATGTTTTTCAACAAGTTTAATCGCTTCACTTGTGTAAACTTCTTGCTTCTCTTTAGTTCTTGCTGTTGGTTCTTTTTCCATTATTTCAAATTTTTTGATCCCATCATCTTCCTCGGCAAAAAGCTAAAAGTTTAATCATTTTTAAGTAATGCTTATATATGTGTGTGTGTGAGTGTGTTAAGTGTGAAAATATCAAAATTTTTGTTTCTCACCTCTAATGGTGAGAACAATTTAACACCATCAAGTTGATGAAAAACTGGATAATGAGTTGAATCGATAGAATCTCTTCTGTAAACATCTCCAACTGTTAAAAAATTATTAAAACCCATTTTGATAAATTCATATTGATGAGCGGTCATATGAGACCGGAGCATAAAATCTTTATTCAAGTAGTAGCAATCACTTTTACTTCTTGACGGATGATTTTTTGGAATAAGCAAAGAATCGAAATTTTGATTTACACTCACGACTGGATTTAAATTATCTAAAATTGAAAAAATGGCATTTCCCCGAGAATTGACATAATTTTTTTGAAAAAATTTTAATATTCTTTCTTTGATAAGACATAACGGATGATATTCTAGGTTATATAAATTTTTATTTAAAAGAGATTTTATTTTCGGACTTATATTAGTATAAGAATCTTGTTCTAACGTTTTCAAATTTACGCTTTTGACTGCATCCGCAGTAAAATTGTTAATTTTACTACGGCTAAAAAATCTTTTTAAAGTCATACTATACTATCCCTATATTACCGACTTACGTACGGTTTACCATTTTTTTTTTAAAAAACACACACAATCCCTTGAACGTGTCATTAGAAAATTAGTTCAAAAGATTTCCGTTAATTCCAAATCATTAATGGCGCTTAATTTTTCTAGAATCACGATTTCAATAAGGTAAAAAATAATTTATATTATTTTATTTAATTTTTAAAATAATAATACTAAGACTTTAGTTTTTTATCACAAATATTAACCTTTAAAATATTATTACTTGAAAAGTTTTTGTGAGAGAGAGAGAGAGAGAGAGAGAGAGAGGGTGAGAGTGGGAGAGAATGAAAGGGATAAAGAAAAAAAACAAAACAATTCATTTAAGCAAAATTTTTTATTTATTTATTTATGTATATATTTATATATGTATATTATTTAGTCTTGATGCAAACATTTAATGAAAAAATAAATTACTCTGAAAAAATTTGTTAATATCTACTTATACTATCTAAAAAATTAAGTTAGAAATATTTTCTTATAGTATCATAAGAAATTTATTAAACAAAAAAAAAACAAAAAAAAGTTAATTTTTTTTTTAAATATTAAAAAAAAAAACTAAAGTTATTATTATTATTATTATTATTATTTTAAACATTTCACAGATCTCTTATTTATTTATAAATATCTCTCTCAGGTTTTTTAATAACAATTTGATAACAATTCATTGACAAACACATTTTTTTCAGTATGTCAAAACGATTGTATAATAATGGCGGAGAGCGACATGTTTTTAATTTAATTTAATTAAATTAATTAATTAATTAATAATGATTTGTTATTATTATTACTCTTTTTTTTCGTTTTTTTTTTTTGGCACTTTTTAGTTTGTTTATTTATTAAAAAAAAAAAAAAAAACCCATAAACAATATAAAATGCAAAACCGAACGAACGTTTCTTCCCCCACGGTTAATTGTAATTTTAATAATAATAATAATAATAATAATGAAACGTTCAAATATTAATACAGCTTTTTTTTGGTTTTTTTTATTGTAAAAAATAATAATAAGAAGCGATATAATTATTAATAACGCGCAATTTAATAACAAAAAAAAAAAAAAAAAAAAGGGGTGATGATGAGTTATAAGCGAGCGAGCGAGAAAGAAAAAAAAAAATAAAATTTTTTTTCTTAATAATTTATCTGAATGGTGCTCTCGTATCCGTTGGCGTTCTCGTCGTGCTTCTCCTCGAAGCTGTCGATATATCGCTGGCACCGGATGGTTTACGTTGAAGTCTGCTAGTAGTAGTGGTACCACTACCACTACCACTTCCAGGTGGAATCGGAGTCGTTGACGTTCTAAGTCTTCATTTTTTCCCCAAAAAAAAACAAAAAAAACAAATTATTAATTTAATTTGTTTGTATCGTTCGATCGATCGATTGATCGATCCATCGATCAAATCGATGACGTTTCGTTAGATTATTATTTACTTTTCTTTTTTCTATATTCCCTCAACCCATCACACGACTCACACTTGCAAAAAAAAATTCGTTTTATTGTATTATTTACATAAAAAAAAAAAACATTGAGAAAAAATTTAAAACGTGTCATGACGTCATCATAGAATTTTCTATTTAAAAAATTTCGTAAATCAAAGGGACACACACAGCAGAGCAAAGTTAATCAAGATAATAAATTATTTATTATTATTATTATTATTATTATTACAATAAAACCGTCACCCAAAGAGCATATTAAAAAAAAAAATTAATTAATTAATTACTTTCGTTTTGACATCCTGACCATAATTCAAATATTTAATTTTTTTGTATTTATTCATCTTCATCATCATCATCATCATCATCATTATTCATTACTAATGAGATCTCACCTTGATTTTATTGATGGTTGGTGGTGGTGGCGGCGGGCACTAATGGTGGTGTTGGTGATGGTAGTAGTAGTGGTAGTAGTAGGCCAAAATTAATTTTAAAAATACAAAACCAAGAAGCTTTCGCCCCGGTTGAAAAACCGACACCGCATCATCATCATCATCATCATCATCAATTAATATCAATGCATTGTCGATAAAGCATTGATCGGGTTTATTATTATTATTATTATTATTAGTCAATTAATATTGTAAAAATATGACGTAATAATTAATGAGGTAACACACGCGCGTATACATATTATAATATTTGTATATCACTTTTGAATTGAATCCGTTGATTGGGTTCGTCGGATTTTTTCGTCCCCTTCCGTCGTCACGGTTCCGGCATTGACGTCATCGTTGACGTCATCATCACCTTTAAACGACGACGAGGATTCGGATAGGGAAGGATTCGACAATGTCCGATCTTCCGATGATTTCTTCGTTTCTTTCATCATTATTGTTCCAGGCGAACGGATTCGCGATTTTTTCGCCATTTCGTTCGGCATCGGGATTTTACTGGCACCGCTTCCGCTTCCGATCGTTTTTCTTATTCTTAAATTTTTCGATGATGACGACGACGACGACGACCGATCACCGATTTCTTGATCGTTGTTACCCGTAGTATTCGTTTTAACGGTTTTTTTCGGTTCGGCTTCGTAATGCGTCACTCCCGGCATGGCCGATGACGTTTTCTTAACGGGAGTTAAATCCGACGATGATTTTTTCAAATCGTTGAGATTAACGGATAAGCTGCAGAGTCCTTTGGTCGTGTTAAATGTCATCAATTTCCTCATCGGCTGCTGCCTGCAGTCGTTAATTTTTTTTTAAAAAAAAAGCGTTACGTGCGTTGTTAACATGCAATTGTTTTTTTTTTTTTGTAACATGCAAAAATCATGCAAGAAAAAAATAAAATTAAAAAAAAATAGTTAAAGTTTTATATTAGAAAAAAAAAAAAAAAAAAAAAAAAAAAATGGGAATTGTTTTCTTCACAGCCTTCTCGATGGTATTATTTAATTTTCTGACGTTGTCATAAAGTCATAGAGTAAAAAAAAACAAAAACAAAAACAAAAACAATAAAAGGAACTCGAAGAAAAAAAAAATCCCTCACTTTTTAAAAACAAAAACTGCTTTTTTTTTTTTTAAAAAAAAAAGAAGTTTTTGAATATTTACCCGGACGAAGACTGAGGATGTTCAGGTGTGAAACCAGTAAATATGGGGATCCGAGATCGAGAGCTTGCAAAAATAAATAAATAAATAAGCGTTTTTAATTATTTTAAGATGGTCGACCGTTTTGGGGGGAGGGGGAGAGGGGCCGGGGGGAAAAATGACGTCCTCACCATATAAATTATTTTACTAACCTCGAACCCATGGTCGAAGAAGATCCGCTCGTCGGTGTTTTAGGTCTTCCGTAAGAACTTCCATTGGGGACTAATAACCGACTTCTAGCACTTGAAGTCCTGGAACCCATGGATCTAAACCAAAGAACATATAATCATATATATTTTACATTCGAATCAATAAAAACTGATAATTTAATAAAAAAAAAAAAAAAAAATAACAAACTAACGTTTTCGAATATCTTCCAGGTGTTGAATCATCGGCAGAATCTAAGGAAAGATTCGATCCGTGTCTGGACGGAGGTTTGCTACCCGTTCTGCTAGCGGGTCTACTGCTGTTTCTCGAACCAGGTAAGCTACCACCTAAATATCATATTACATTATTACGTGGCATCAAATTGAAAAAAAACTAAAATAATAATAATAATAATAATTGAAAATTACTTGGCGTCACGCTCGATCTATACGAAGATGTCGACCTTCTCGGCGTGGGCCTTCCCGAATATCCTCCACTTCCTCCTCCTACTCCTCCTTCGTTGTCGCTCAACGAATCGGGAGTTCCTTGAGATATGGATGATCTCGTTCCTCTCGTGCTACCCATGGGCACGCTTTTCAAACTCTTTTCTCGTATCTAAAAAAAAATTCGTGGACTATAAACTACGATTTTTAACAGCAGGAGCATCAACAGCAACAGAAAAACAACAAAATAACAAGAAAAAAAAAAAAAAATTGATTTTTTTTTTTTTAAAATTTTTTTTACCCAATGATGTTGAAGCTGCGGCGGTGAGCATATCCTACTTCTTGACGTGTTTACTTTGAGAGGGTAAGCAACAGGAACCGTTTGTTGCGCCCTAACACTCTCAATGATCGGCATAAGATGACTCATAAATTCTTCAGCTAAAGACAACACACAGTCAGATACGGTCTCTCTCTCTCAATTACGAGGAGGAAGGTTTATGACCAAATCCGACCGCGAATTCTATTTGGTGCCTTTTTTTTTATCTAGTCATTCGTTTCTCTTCTTCCCCCCTTCCCCCCATCCCTTATCCCATATTCCTTCCGAATCAAATATTCGATTAAAAAATAAAATACTAATAATAATAATAAAAAATAAAATAAAATAAAAGAAGAAACCGATAGAACGAGAAGGAGGAAAATTACAACTAATGTCGGACTACGACTATCTAATCCACGTGTGTGTGCGTGGGTGGGTGTGTATGTGCAAGGATAAAAAAAAAAAAAAACAGTTTAAACAAGTCTTGATCGCTCTTGTCCACAGCGAGCATTTATAAATCAAACGTGTCCCAAACAAATTTCCCTCCTTTCCCTCCACACGAAAGTTTAACAGATCTAATGTGAAGAACAAAAAAAAAAAAAAAAAACAAACAAATGCAAACAAATAGTTTGTAGTTAAGAAAAACCAAAAAAAAAAAAAAAAAAACCGATTTCACGGAAAATGTACAAAAAGAAAAACTATTATTATTTTCACGTGGGGGAAGGTGCGCGACGGGCGGCGGTGGCAGCGGCGGGGGAAAAAAAAAAAAAGAATGCAACAAACAGCTTGTACTTGAATTATTCATCAATCCAACCGTTTAAAAGAAACAACACTCTTCTCTCTTACCTGATCTCATTCCTTTTTTATCCTTCAGGATCGACGTATCAAATATACCGACTGTACATGGTTAATAATAATAATAATAATAACAACGACAACAAGTACTAACCTTTGTGATGGGTCCAGCAGAGCTAGACGTGACGCTCGTGGATCGCGAGCTAGCCGAAGTCTTGGGTTTGAATGCTGACATGCTCTGACTTACACCATCGGCCAAGATGAATTGCTCGCGAAGTTCGATATTGGTTCGTCCCTTAGCTAGTTAAACGACACACAGACGACAGAGGAAGACACAAGCCAACGACGTTCAATTCCGTGCGTTTCATTTTTTTTTTTTTTTTTTTTTTTTTTTTCGTATTGTTTTGTTTTGTTTTTTTTTCGAGCAGTTAGTGTGGCGGAGAAAAAAAAATCGGTGTTAGTCAAAAGAAAAAAAAAAAGAAAGAAAAAGAGAAAGAGAAAGAGAGAGAAAAGGAACGGTATACGTTTTTTTATACAATGAAAACGGATGGAAAAAGGAAAAGTGTGTGTGTGTAAAAAAAAAAAAAAAAAAAAAACCAAAGCCGGAACCGGAAATATGAAAGAAAAAAAAAAACAGAAACAACTAATAAGCAAAAAATAAAAAATAAACCAAATCATTAAAAAAAAAAAAAAAAAAATTTCTTGGGGGGGGGAGTAAGAGGGGGGACGGGGAGATGTGTATGTGGGGGAGGGGGTTATCACTCGAATTGAAAATCGATTATTATTATTATTATTCTAAATCGATTTTCAACTACCGAGTAAACATTTCTAAAAAAAAAAAAAAAAATAGAAAGAGAGAGTAAAAAAGCGTTTTGCCTGTGCGTATTATTAAAAATTTAAAAAAATCATTATCATTATTCATTCATTCATTCATTGAATGACACACGCACACACACACACAGATGCAAAACGACGAATTTTTAATGCAGGCAAAAATGTAACTCTTATATATATCATAATAATTAAAAATAAAAAATCTGAAAATAAGGGAAAATTTTTCAACTTTTACCTCAACCAACCAATAATTAAAAAAAAAAGCAGAAGAACCATCAATACAGGTGGTACATGTGCCTACAAACGACTACGATAAACTACGACAGCAATTATCACAAAAAAAAAATAATAATAATAATTTTTACCATGCATTTTTCTATAGTGACTACTCATATCTAAACGATGGTGATGATTTATTCGATATGGGAAAAAGAAAAAAAACGCGGGAAAAAATGGCGACTAATGATTGTGATATGAAATGTCAAAGAATGAATGAATGAATGAATGAATGAATGATTGATTGGTTTCGGTGTCTCATCGATCGAACATCATCGAAAAACTATTAGAGAAAACTCGACTGTTTTTTTATATTTTATTAAGCAACAGCGTACGTGAGCAAAGGGGGGAGTTGGGGCGGGGGAGAAGAGGTAGAAGCGGGAGGGTGGGGGGGTTGAGGGAGGGGGCAAATGTTAACAACATTCTTGCCTGTTTCAATGACTCCGTAGATACACCAAGGATCATGTTCCTCTGGTTTGTTCGGATCGGGTATGGGCATGAGTTCAACTACACGTAAAATTAATTTAAAAACCACCCGAACATTTTTTTTTTTTTTTTTTGTTACAAATAAAATTTTACCGTCATTATCCGATGATGATTGTTGTTGTTGGTTGTTTGTTGTTTGATTGTTAGTCGTTACAAGCAGCAAAAGACAAAGAAAAATAAAAAATAAAAAAAAATAAAAAAAAAACGGCAAAGCCCCGAAGTTAGTAGTGCTATACTAAATTAATATAATAATAATAGTTATTAATTAATTAATTAATTAATTAACCGTTACATCAAAAAGCAAATAATAATAATAGTATTAATGAGATAGAGAGAGAGAGAGAGAAAAAGAAAATAAAATAAAAAAATTCGTTTCTTTCATATGCAATGACGTCACAAAACTTTAAAAGCCATTTTTTTATGTACCGAAAATAAATAATAAATTTTTTTAAACATTAATTCCGAAATTATTATTATTATCATTATCATTATTATTATTTATAATTAAAGCCAAATTTTGCTTGATTTAAAAAAAAAAAAAATAGAAAGAAAATGTGCGAAAAAAAAATTGTGCGCATAAAGCTTATATGTATATACATATGTATATATATATATATATGTATGTATGTATGCATATCAAAGCAACGAATGTGTTCAATCATATTGATAACAAAATCATCGATGGTAAACCGATAACGAAAGATAACAAAAAAACCCCTCGTGAGATTGCGAATCGATCAATCGATCCATCGATCGATCGATCGATCGATCGAAACGAAGAATGAAAATTAGAAAAAAAAAAGAAAACAAAAAACGAAAAAAATAAAATAAAATGCTTTTACGCGCGAAACCCAATTTCAACTTATGCATTAATAAAACTTATATTTATTATTATTATTATTATTATTATTATTATTATTATTATCATTATTAATATTATTATCGTTATTATCATTATTATTTTTTTTTCTTTTTGTTGTATTATTTTATATTTTAATATTAAGGCACCAAAAGAACACCCCCGTCGGACTTGTAATTATTATTATTATTATTAATTATTATTATTATCATTATCATTAATTACTATGTAAATAAGCTGCGAATTATTATTATTATTATTATCATTAATTTGATATTATCAACCAATATTATTACGTAATTAATAAAATTTAAAAAAAAATTTTTTTGGTTACGTGAATGAGAATAAATATTATTATTATTATTTGTTTATTTTTTTTCCAGCAAATTAAATTATTATTATTATTATTATTATCGTTTAGTAGTTAATAAATTTTAATTATGATTTTTTAATTTTTTCCCTCATCACGTAAAGGGGAAGCAGTAATGGGGGGGGGGGTAGAGTGATGTGGGAGATTTATATCTCGACAGTCAATGTAACCAATTTGACAAAAAAAAAAAAAAAAAAAAAAAAAAAAATTGGGGGGCAGAAGGGGGGCCAGCGGGGAGTAGAGGGGGGGAAAATTAAACGATATCTTATATCTATTGGTAATAAAAACAAACGTACCTCGACAAGGATCGTTCTTCTGCAAGAATTCTTCCAAAGCGACCCAACCTCCTCCGACACGAACCATGACGGTCGATCGAAGAATTCTAACGAGTCTTAATTTTTGACTGTCTCCAAACTTTAATAGAAAAAAGGAAATAATATTAATAATAATAATAAATTTTCACTTGTTCCCGAACGCACGACGACAGGAATAAATAAATAAATGAAAATTTCGGGACTCACTCGGTATTTTCCTTCTCCGACTTGGAAAACTCGGAATTTTTGTCGGCAAGTACACAACATGACCAATCTCTTGACTTCGTCGTGAATTTTTTCCGCTTCCGTTTCCGGTTTCTTTTCTTCCCAATCCGGCCTTAAAGCGGCTATAAATTCTTTCCAATCGATAAATCCGTTATGATGATCGAAGAGATTGGCAACTTTATCCATTTCGAGTTTCGAAGTGTCGAATTCTTTTATTTGGAGAAAAAAAAAAAAAGAAAATAATAATAATAATAATGATAATGATAATTAATCGAAAAAGGTAAAAAAAAAAAAAAAAATTTTTCCACGTACTAGTTTTCATGATTCCATCAATGAAATCATCTCTCGGAATGAGTCCGTCGTTATTTTTATCCATTTTTCTAAACAAATCCGTCAGTCTTGATTTCTTGTGGTTCATAAATTTCAAGAACTGAAAATGATAATAATAATAATAATAAATTAATCATCATCCTCCTCCTCCTCCTCCATCTTTCCAAACGGACGGACGGACGGAGATCAAAACTCACTCGTTTTCTCCAATCGTCCCAACTGAAATTTTTCATCTTCTCAATTTCCAACAGGTAAACGAGTTTTTCCTGGAGTCTCCTCTGTCTTTCCCAAGATAAAACCCAAACGTTTCTCCATCTGTCCCAAAGTAATTTAACTCTTGGTGAACGGAATGTCGGTTCGGTTCCTTTCCTATAAAAATAAACACAATAAATTAATTCTTTTCATTCGCCATTTGTTTTCATTCGGAAAGAAAGAAAGAAACGATAAAAAATTACACAACGAAGACAGAGAGAGAGAGAGAAAAAAAGCAAAAAAGGCAAAAAAGCGAGAGGGAGAAAGAGAGAGAGAGAGAGAGAGAGAGAGAGAGAAAAAGCAAAAAAGGCAAAAAAGCGAGAGGGAGAAAGAGAGAGAGAGAGAGAAAGAAAAAAAAAGTCAACTTACGCTCCTTTAGGCGGAAATCTGGGTCCGTAATGTGGCAAATCCAATTTACCATCCCTCACCGGACTGAGCCTACTAATGAAATAATCACCAAAATAAACATGCACGAAAAACACCAAAACAAAAATAATAATAATAATAATAATAATAATTTTTTACCTTCCACGTCGCGATGGGTCTTTTCCCAACAAGCTTTCCCGAGATTTCGCCAAGCTGAATTTTCGTAAATTTAACAAAAAAAAAAAAAAAAAAAAAAACGAAAAACCATTAACGCTCATGCCACGAGTATAAATAAAAACAACCCCTAATTCATATAAACTACCCCTAAATAATAATAACAACCCCTACTGATTCAAAAGCTTATATTTCAAATGATAATAATAATAATACTAAAATCCAAGCAAAATTTACCATCGCCTTTTATAATTAAAACCTTAAAATATAATCTTAAGAGGTATCGAAACAAAATAATAATAATAATAATGAAAATACAAACCTCGATTTACGATCCAAATCTGGTGAACCTTCTCTATCATACTCTTTACTGTAGTCCAAAACAAACAAGTCACGACAACAACAACAACAAACACGATAAAAGTGTAGGGAAGAATTTGAGTGCACACCAAACGCATACAAACAAACAACAAACGAAAAAAAAAGAAAGAAAAAATAAATAAATAAATAAATAAAAGAGATTAAATTAATAAATAAATAAGGAAAAATACTAACGAAGGAGTTTTCGGTCTCGACGTCTTTTTATCTTTTGTCGCCGCTTGAACTTGTCTACTCTTACACACGCTATCAACTTCTCCTTGTCTCACTTGTGTATTTTCCATAAAATCCCTGTCGAAAAAAAACAAAGATAGAAACAATAATAATAAAAATAATAGACGTGAGAAGGTGCGTGACTATATAGATATCGTGTGGGTCATACTTGTGTTCTTCGATGAGTTGTCTTATGGTTGGAATGTCGTCTGGTAAGGGTTCGGATTCGAGCGCGACAAGAGTTTTTTCCAATTTTGCCAACCAAGCTAAAAGTTCTTCTAGAAGTTCGTCGGCATTTCTTAAACTCCTGAAAAAGGACAATTACGTTTAAAAAGAAATGGAAAAACTTCTTCGTGCCTTCCAACCACCACCGCCACCATCACTCACCTTATGTGTTCTTCCAAACGTGCTCGTCTCTGATGAGCCCATGAATAAACTTCTTCCCATCTGCTTATTATAATCGTTATCCAATGTTTTATTATTGAAGCACCATCGGGATGAGCTTTGGCTAAAACTTTTTCCGCCAAATTCAACGTGGCATCTTTGTCGTGTTCTTTTTCCGAAAGTTCTCTCAAAAATTTCTCGTGTTCAGCTATTTGAGTTTTCGTTTCCAATTCACCATCGGGTAGTATTCCGGCAAATCTGTAAATCGAATCATTTCATAAAATTCATCTTCGTACGAGTTCGGACTGCGAGATGGATTTTCCATAAGAAAAAATTCTTCACCTTAATTTCATTTCGGCATCGCTCAGCCATTCCAAAAGCATGTCGACGGATTTGTGAAGTTGTTGAGCTTCTCTGAGTGCTTCTTCCAAACGTTTGAGCTGTCGTTCTTTCAATCTAATCACGCGTTCCCACAGCGTCGTCAATTCTTGAAGTTGTGTACGAATGGTTTGAGCATCCGCATGCGAAGCTTTTTCCTGTAAATCTCTTCCCGTTCTTTTAACTTGTTCGAATTGAACGGATCGTCCCTGAAAAAAAACGACATCGATATTAGTCTTTAACTATAAAAAAAAAAAGAAAACATTTTCTCCATATTTTGCAACAAAATACCTGAAGATCTTCTTCGAATTGACGATGTTGATCGATCAAACCGTTTACGGTATCCAAATCTCCGTGTACGGGTTCGTCTTCTGATAAAATCTTATCCGCTTTTTGTAACCATTCCATGAGAGCGTGCACGGCATCTAAAAATTAACAAAAAATAAGAAACTCTCTCTATCTCTCTCTCTCTTTCTCTCTTTTCAATTCGTCACCTTTAAACTGTCCAGAGAAAAGAAGTGCTTCTTCGAGTTTTCTCTGTCTGTCGACGCTTTTGGCACAAACGGCCGTCCATTTGTTTTTAAGATCGTTCATCATGTCTCTAAGAGGTGCTTCGTCACTTTTAGGTGCTTTGTCTTTGAGTGTCTGCCAAAGAAAAAATTATCATTATTACTAAAATAAAAAAGTATCACGTGATATAAGGTTAATTCGACTTACTTTTCCGGCTTTCATCGTGTTATCGTAAGAAGACTGTTTGCCGCTGAGCGCTCGTTGAAATTCTCTATGTTTGGCTAATCTTTGTTTGATTCTTTCTGGATCGTTTCCGGTTTCTCTCGCCAATTCATCTAATTCTCTTTCAGTTTCCGTTAGCCAATTCATCAAAGCGTTCCTTTAAAAAAAAAAAAAACAAAAAATTTCAAATAATTTTTTTTTTTTTTAATGTTACAAACTTTAAGCGAAAGATCGTTTGACCAATTACCAAGAGTCGTGGAATTCTTTGGCTTCTTTATAACCGTGATCCAACGATCTAGTTCTTTCGGCGCTTTTACTAACGACTCTCTCCCAACGGTGTTGAACGCTTATCAATAAATTTTTAATTAATATGACGTCTTGTTTTTGACTGAAATATTTCAAATGTGTTCCCTTTTTATCGAGATTCAACATGGTTTCCCTGTGCGCGGAAACTTCCTTTTGGAAAGCTTTGTGTTCTTCTATTTGACTCAATATCGTTTCCATAACTCTCGATACGGGTTTCATGTTGACCAATGTTTTTTCCGCGTTTGTCAACCAGTCGACAAAAGCCTAAATGGAAAAACCAAAACATTTAAAATTGTTCATCGAAATTTAATAATAATAATAATAATAATAATAATAATAGTAGTTTGATTACTTGAAGAGCATCGTGGAATTCGGTCGCTTCTTTAAGAGCAATTTCCAATTTGATCTTTTTGTCGTTCGCTCTTGCCGTCACGCTATCCCATCTTTGTTTAAGAGTTTTCAAATTGTGTTGAAGGTTTGTGGCCGTGGATGAACGTTTAAGGTATTCGTTTCCTTGTTGAAGAACGGATTCGACGTTGGGACGGTTCGTTTCGAGTTCGTCGAAAATTTCCATGAAACGTTGCAATTGTTCCGAAGCCGTTTCGGGTAATCCACCGACGGGTTTGGATGCGGCAATCACGCCGTCAACGTCGCTCAACCAAGACAAAAGATCTTGTATTTCGGCATTGAACCGTTGAGCGTCTTTAAGCGAATCTTCCAATTCTCTTTGTCTGTCGGATGCTTTTTCCAATAAATCTTTCCATTGACGATTTAAAGTTTTCAATTGTTCTTGTGTGCTCGACGCTTCTTGACTTCCTCGACTCGATTCGATCAATTGACGACCGGCATCGTTCAAAGCGTCGACACTACTTTGATGAGCTTGTATGTCGTTAACCAAAACCTAAAATAATGATAAACTTTACAAGGGAACCAAAACAACCAACTTTTTTTTCTTTTAAATGAAACAATATGGGAAACCTTCAATTTGGCCAATTCAACTTCCAAAACTTGCGGATCACCAGGTACGGGTTTAAGATCCGTATCCAATGTGTTATTAGTTCCTATGATCCACTTAATCAATTCACTTAGAGCATGTTGGAATTGTCCCAATCTGAGTAATGCTTGCTCTAAATGTCTTTGACGTTCGACCATTCCTCTCAACAAATCATCCCATCTTTTGTTCACCTGATTCAAAGGTTCTTTTATGGCCAGAGCCTGATCAGCTGATGTTCTCTCCGTGAGCTCGTGTGCTTGCCTTTATATTAAATAAATATCGAAACAAAATAATTAATTACCACGAGTATGGTTCATGCTCGTAGGATCAACATACATCTTTTCAAAAAAAAAAAAAAAAAATGGCGGTCAACGGAAACAAGCAAGTTTTGAATTTTACACAATTTTTTTTTTTATAAAACCAAACAAACATGCAATACGATTAACAGAAAAAGTCATCATCTAACAATAAAATGCATTCTTTTACAATCTTTTTTTTTTTTTAAAAAAAAAAACACGTCTAATAATAATTTCCATAGTAAAACTTGCCTCCTTAAAATTCTGTTTGTGATAACGACAACAACAGACGCGACAGAAAAAATAAAATAAAAAAAAATTTAATTTCATTCACGTTATCATTATTCTAATAATAATAATAATAATAATAATAATAATTGTATATGTGAGTACGAACCTGTTAAGAGCTTCAACTTTGACCATTTGCGGATCAACTTCCTCTTTGAAATCTTTCAGTTGATATATTTGTTTTTTAACGATTTCAATGTCCGATCCGAGAGGGCCCATTCCGGCAAATTTGTCTTCGGCTTTTTCTAAAAACTCTAACAAATTCTGAAAAACAATAAAACGATATGAAAATTTTTTTTCTTTTAAATACAAAATGGAGTCGAAGTGAGATATGAACAAATTATGTTACCTGTAGGGTGTAGTGGAATTCCATTGCTTTTTCCATTGCGTCAATCAAATTTTCTTCACGTTTGGCATACAGAGCGGTTATATTATCCCAAGCATTATCCAAATCTTCAATGTGTTTTTTAACTTCGGGTTTATCTGGTTCGCCGCAGATTTTCATCAAAGTTTGTCCCGTTTGTCTGACTTGATCAACTTCCGGTTTCGTTTGATCTATTTCGTGTTTAATCTCTTGCAAGATTTCCTGTTGAACTTTGATGGCTTCTTTTTGAGCTGCCGGCGGTTCTTGATTGTTCAAGCTGTTGCTAAGATCACGAAGCGATGCCATGACCGTTTGAAGTTCGGACCAAAACCTTTCGGCAATGATTAATGTTTCATCGAGAGTTCTGCTACGATCCGCTGTTGCTTTTTGAACGTCTCCCCATAGGGAATTCAATTTGTCCAATTTTCGTTTAATGTCTTTCACAGCCGGATCCGAGCGGTTGCCGGCCTTGCTAATGACGTCATCTGCAGCTCTCTTAACGGCTTCGAAAGCTTCTTCTCTGCTGTCTAAATCTTCCACCAATGCATTGTTTTCTTCCAATTGGTCTCTTATCTTGGGCGGATGCGCCGAAACCGGTTCGGAAACTTTGACTTGTTCGGCTGTGTTTTGCAAAGCTCTAAGCATTCCTTCAAGTTTGTCAGAAAACCGACTCGATTCTTGAAGTGCCTGTTCCAAAGCTTGTTGTCGTTGTCTTAGGTGAGCTCTTAGTGCCGAATACCGAGAATTATGCGCATCTATAATATCTTGAACTTTTGCTCCGTCGTCGTCGTTTACCAATCGTATGAGAGCTTCTCCCGTTTTATTTAATTTATCGACCAAAGGCTTTTGATCGGATATCCATTGACTGAACAATTCGTTTTTATCCTGCTGTTGCGCGATATGATCCGGTCGAAGAGCGGGCAAAGCGAGGGCATTTACTTGAGTCTCGATGTCGTCCAACCAAGACGTCAATCCGGTGTGCGTTTCTAAAAAGTGTTCGGCCAACGGCAATGCTTGTTCTAAAATTCCAAGTCTGTCGGAAGAAAGGCTGGACACGATATCCATAACTTCTCTGAGATCTTCAAGCTTCTCGCGAATGGTAATCGTATCATCGTGTTGGGAAGCCTCGCGGAGAACTTTCTTTGCCGTAGACAATACGTCACGCCCTCTTGATTTTTGACTCGTGATGTCATCTTGCAAAGTACGGTGTTCTTTTAATTGTGCGCGAATGGCATCGGGATCACTTGAGGGAGGTTCAACTTCCCTAAGAGTGTTTTCAACTTCCCTAAACCAGTCGAGTAATTCATCCATGTCTGCAGTCACTTCAAGAGACCTTTGTTTCGACAAGTTGAATCTTTCGGCTTTCCTTTGAATTTGTTCGACAATGGCGTCGAATCTTCTGTTGTCTCTTGTAACGAGGCCTTCTATGGTCGCTGCACCTTCTCCGGGCGATAGTTGACACAATTGCGGGCCGACGAGGTTAATGCTTTCAAGAACCGGACGGAATTCTTGGATATCTCCTTCCAATCTTTCGATGTCCTCTTGACGAGGTTCGCGTTGTAACTGGCTTTCGGCTCCCATCATCCAATCGACCAAACGGTGATGGCTGTTGTGAAATTGTTGAACCAAGGGTAAAGCTTCCTGGGCATTTTTCAAGAGTTCAGAGCCGCGAGATGTCAAGTCGTTGTATCGTCTTTGAAGGGAATCCAATTTATCTTTCAATTGAATGGCTTCGTCGTTGGAAATGTGTTTCATTAATTCCAATCCGGCATCAACGGTTGAATCGACTTGAGTGTGTCTATCTGATATTTCTTCAGTCAAATTAGCAAGGTCATCCATTTGTTGAAGGAGTTTTTCGGTGTGAACTCCGAGAGCGCGATGAGTGTTGAGACGTTTTTCCATCGTTTCCATCCAGGCTTGCAATTCTTGATAAGTGAGAACAAGATGTCGCAATCCGGCGCGAGAGGCTTCCAACAATTGTCCGACGGCATCGCTATTGTCACAAAGGACGGAATAACGATCGGCAGTTTCACTTAACTTATCGGCCACGGTAGCTGCCTCGTCTTCACCAACCAACGACATGAGAGTATCTGCAACTTCCGTCAATTCCATGAGAGTGGGTTTCTTGCGAAGGATTTCGCTGTGCAAATCTTCGTGTTCTTTAATTCTATCTTGTATTTTCTCTTCGTCGGTCGGCACCAATTCCATTTCTTTAATTCTTTTCTCGGCTTTATCAAGCCACTCGACGATGGGCACCAATTTATCTTGGAAGTCTTTAGCAACGTGCATGGCTTGTTCCAAATCCAACATTCGTCTTTGTGCTCCGTCTGTGAGTTTATCAAATCTGACCATCAATTCCTTCAATTGACGTTCAATTCCTTTTTTCTCGGATGGATCAGCTCCGGAAGCAACTTCTTGACCCATAGTGAAGAGAGACGACATGGAGTTTTGCCGATCTAAAAGCATCTTTTTCAAAAATTTTTGTTCTTGAAGTTGCGCCTTGACAACTTTGTAATCAGCCGAAGGAGGCTTTTGATTAGCAACCATTTCTTCTGTGTCCGAGAGCCATTTATCGAGTCCATCCAAAGCTTCCTGGAATTTGCCAGACTGTAAAAGTCCAACGTCCAACTTTCTATCTCTTTCGTTCATTTTGTCTTTCAAATTATTGAATTTATCATTCATTTTTTCCAAGTCCTTTTCTATGACCGTGGTGTTCACACCTCCGGCAGCGGATTGAATCAAAGTTTGTCCTTTCTTATTACAATCCGTTACTTGGTGACCTAAAGGCTCGAAAACGTTTCTTCTCAATGCTCTCGATTCTTCTTGTTGGGCTTTTATTCCCTCGACCTCTGAGCCGACGGGTTTCAATCGTCTCACTTCTTCTATGACTTCATTAATCTCATCCGTTACGACGGTGTATAATTCGTAAAACTGTTCCAATTTTTTGAGCACGCTAATTAAATCTTCTTCTCTGGTTCTCGCTCTGTCGTCTAACCTAGCCAAAGACCGCTGTAACGAATCAGCTTGTTCTCGAGTTTGAAGATTGTCGGGAGTAAAACCGGAATCGACTAAATTATCTCCGGCGGTAACTATGTCATTTATGTCATCCGATGCTTTTCCGAGTTTCTTGATAAACAAGGCAACTTCTTCTAATTGCTGACGAACAGTTTTAATGTCTCTTCCGGCCGGTTTCATCATATCCAACTCTTGTTCCAAATTATTCAAATCGATAAAGAGATTTTTAACTTTTTCATTGAATTGTTGGACGGCAGTTGCGGCACTTTGAAGTTCGGAACAACGATCATCCAAAATGGCGTTCAAGTGATCCAATCTTTCGCCTAAAACATCGACGTCGTCTTGGAGATGACCAGCATCGCCACCGACGACTCGAGCGGATCCAACCAAATCAATAACTTGCTGTCTAACGTTTTGCATGGGTTTATGCAAACCGCTTGATTCTTCTTTCAATATTCTTATTTTATCGAGTAATTTGGGATCCCCGACGTCATGATTGGATAATTTATCTTCGCATCTTTGAATGGAATGTTCGAGTTCTCTCAGGTTTTCGTTAAAGTCGGTGAGAGATCGGGCCGTGTCTTCGAGGACCTGAGTTCTTTCGAGCAAATCATTGTTGAGTTTGTCCCATCTTTGCTTGAGATTGGACAATTCACTTTTGACAACTTCCTTATCTACGTCGCAAGCACCGTGGAAAGTTTCGCCCAACATTCTGGTATTTTCGTATTCTCCAGAATGTTTCCAAATGTCATTTCGGAACGTTGACAATTCTTTTAATTGTTTTTCAATGTCTTTTCTCTTAAAAGTATTGGGTTTGAGTGTGTCCAAACGATCTTCGGCAGTTCTGAGCCACGGCACGAACGTGTCCAAAACTCTGTAATATTTCTTGCAATGCTCCATGCAAGTTTGAAGTCTTGTATGCCTTTCGACGGTGTCTTTTTTGAGTTTATCCCACAATTGTTGTATTTTGTCAATATCCCTTTGCAAGTTTCTGCTATCCGGCCTTTGACCGCTTCTGGATAAGTTGTCTCTTGCTTTGTTCAAAAGCATAATTACTTCGTGTTCTTTGTTAACGACATCTTTGTAAATAGGTTCGTATTGATCAAGTTGCTGTTGAAGGATGTGCTTATCGGCAGATATTAAAAGTTTTTCGGAAAGAGAACCAAGTTCGTCACTTAGCCATCCGACGGTTCGCGCACAAGATTGTTCGAGTTGTCGTCCATCTCTCAACGAACCTTCGATTTCAGCTTTTCTATGGTCGAGTTTCTTTTGTATGGTATTGTATTGTCTGGCCAAAGCTGCCAATTTCGTTTGGATTTCCGATCTTGATGCTGGATCGGTTAAAACTTCGCTTAACTGAACACCGGCAGCTTCGATGTCGGCTAGCAAAGGCCTTTGACCTTCCATTTGACGTTCCAAGTTTTGTATTTTTCGAAGTTGCTCTTCTGGGTCTTTGTCAAGAGGCAACTCGTCAAGTTGGTCACTAATAGCTTGCAAAGCATCTTTCAGTCTGGTGACGCCGGCATCGAATTCTCTACTCGTGTCAGCTGCGGCACCGAGACTCGAAGCTCTTTCTTCGAGTTTTGCCAACAAATCGGCCCAACGTTCCTTGATAGATTTAAGTTTGGTCGAAAGCCTTTGTCCATCGGTGGAAGTTTCATCGATTTGCGAAAAAACTGAATCTCCGACTTCGTTAAGATGAACCAACTGAGGTTGCTGAGATTTAAATTCTTCTCTGAGCACTTGAACTTGCTGAACTTGACTTTGAACCATTCTCGGATCTGAGGAAATAGGTCCGAGAACAGACATCATCTTGTCCTTTGCTCCCAACCAATTGTGCAAACCATCGTGAGTGTCGTGAAATTCTTTTATGTCTTCCATTAATTTTATTCTCGATTTGCAACGATCGTTCAATATCTTCCATCTCGACGTAACATCCTCCAATTCGTCGAACAATCTGTCGGCTCCTGGAGCGTTACCCTTTCTTTTAAGCAAATCTTTAACTTGAGTTCTCGTGTTATCCAACAACGATTGTTTCTCGTACATTTCCTCCAACACGACCTTGATAGCTTTTGCAGTTTTGTCGGATTCGTCTCTCGTCATTGGTACAAATTCTTTCGGCAATTGCCTTTGAACTTTGTCCAAAAACTGAGCCAAAGCTTTGAGATTTTCCAAATATTTTTTAACTTCTTCTCTCACTGTGTCGACTTCCGTTTGACGATCGTTCAATTTAATTCCAAGCAAACTGTAACGATTGTTTATTTCGCTAATTTGACTTTGAACGGGAGACGAATCTTCCAGATGGAAACTTTCCGTTGATAATCTTCTGCTACCGAATCCGAGAGGGCTAGACAATGGAATTGAATTCATGTAATTTTTATTAGGTGACGAAGATCGTCCATCGACGACGCTCGGTCTTTGAGAGAGAGAAGATTTTTTCAAAGAATTATAAGCGGAGCTACGACGTTTCGTTGGAGAATCGTATCTCATGAGAGAATCGTAAGCCGAACCCAAATCGTTCAATTTCTCAAGAGTCGTAGCATAATCTTTATATTCTTTAATCATGGGTTTCAATTCATCCGCTTGCCTTTTTAAAATGGTCAAATCCAATGCGACCGTTTCCAACCTGCTAATTTTCGATTCCATGTTACTCAACCAATCCAAAACGGTTTCCCGAAGGTTTTCGTATGCGCTGAGCTGTTCGGCTCTAGCTCGAGATGATTTTTGCTTATCTTCTAAACCAGAATTTAAATCTTTCCACATGCTCTCCAATGTCTGTCAAAGGAAAATCCATTATATCAATCATTTCGAAGTGTTTTTTTTTTTTTTTATTGTATTAAATGAAAATTTGATTTTACCTTAACTTTTTCCCTGACTATTCCCACGTCACTGACATCTTTTTTAGATATTAAATTCTTTCCGTTACCGATCATGTCTTCGTATTTGTTCTTTTGCTGATCTCTCTTGTCGCTCAATTGTTCGATTTTCGTAACGAATTCATCGTGTGTCAATTTATTCAATTCACGAGATTCCAATTGTTCAATCAAATCCGTAAACCATTGTTCGAAGTGTTCAACTTGAACGTTGAAATTACTCAAACATTGGAATATTTCATCCAAGAAATCTCCCCTTTGCAAAGTTTTCAATTGTATTTTTTCGTATCTACAATATATACAATAAAAATAATTAATAAATAATAATAATAATAATAATTATGGCAAGAGTAAAAAAAAAAAAAAAAATTTCTAATCCGTTGCATTTACCTCGTTAACATGTCGGATAATTTCGATTGTATTTTCGATGCTAATCTCGGATTAGAACTCGTGTTAATCAAATCCTGTGCGGAATAAGCGACGGATTCTAAACTTCCCCGATGATTTTCAATTTCCGCATGAATGAGACGTTGTTCTCGAATTTGATCTTCCAATCTGTCTTTATTAAGGCTGGCTGGTTTCATGTGAGCTCTGAAAATTTCCAGTGAAAAGAGTCAAAGGTTAGACGTCAACGTTAATATACGCGCGTTCGTACCAAAAAAAAAATAAAACTTACTTGAGTTGACTTTCGATTGTGTTCAACCATTGTAAAAGAGAGTCGAGAGCATCTTGAAGTCCCTGACTTTGAACGAGAGCAGCATCCAACGCTTGAAGTTTTTCACTGAGTGCTTCGGATAATTGAACGTATTTATTTTCCAATTCTTTTACTGGAACTGTAAGGCCAATGATAAGAAATTCAATCATCATGGAACTGACGTAGTGAATAGCGAGGGGGGGGGGAAAACATTATAATACGTCACCTTCTAAGGCTTCCATATCCGATGGAGTTTGTTGACCTTCCAGTGATCTTAACAAAATGGTAACGGCTTGTTTAACAGAATCAATGAGTCGTCCGTTCGACATGAATTCGGCGTTCAGCGACTTGGCACGGCTCAACTGTTCTTCGACGGCTTTGGGTTCGGCTCCCAATGGTTCCGAAACCAATTTAGTCGTTTTAGGTTCGACTTCTCTCATCCATGCTTTCGCTTTGTCCAAAGCATCCCGATATTCTCTCTGTCTTCCTCCCAAACCGGACAACCTATCCGAAAGCGTGTTTGAACGCGACAAAAGTTCTCTGTAGTGAGTCGTCGCTGCGGAGACTTCGTTGCGAACCATTGAATCTTGACTAGACACGGGTTCGATGTGTGGAAGACGTTGTGGCAAACTCGTTCGAAATTCGTTAAGGCAACTCAAATATTCCTGAAAGTTTAAAATAATATTAGGAAAAAAAAAAAAAAAATTTTTTTTAATAAAAATCAAATCTTGGCAGTTTCTCACCTTGGATTCGTCGACGAATTTTTGAGCGCTCATCGTGATAAATCGAAGATCGGCTTGATGTACGATAACATCGCTTACGAAATCTCGAATGGGTTCGATACTCGATGGTAACTTATTAAGATCCGATAATATTTTTTCCTTATCTTCGAGAGTTTTCCTTGCTTTGTCCATCCAAGTGCAGAAGACTGATAATTCCGTTTTGAATTTACTCAATTCGTCTCGGGCAAATATTAATTTTTTCAATAATTTATCCGTTCGATCTTGTACTTTATCGAAACGTTTTTTCAAATTTTGTCCGTTCTTTTCCAGATTTGAAATTTCTTCTGCTGATAAAACTTCACCGCCGGTTGCGACGATTTGACGGATTTGATCCAAGACGGTCGTGACGGGACGATTATGACCGTGAATATCATCTTTTATCGCCTGAATTTTCATAGAGGAAAAAATCAATTAAGAAAGTCGAGGGGGAAGGGATAAAAATGATTTTAAAATATCCATCCATGGGATTTTCCCTACCTTTATGGTATTGATTTGATTTCTTAATTGTTCGGAATCCTCTTTGACGACATCCTGTTGCGACACGGTTGTCTCAACGTCACCCAACCAGTTCAATAATTTCTGCAGAGCATCGTCGCATATTTTGTATTTTTCCTCCATGGCTTGCTGTAAACAATTTTCAAAACCAAAACTTAAAAATTACCCCAAAAAAAAAAAACAAACAAACAAATAAAACAAGCAGACAAACAAACAAACAGACAAACAGGCAATCAATCAATCAATCAATCAAAAACAATTCATTCGAACCCTGAAAAATAATAATAGTAATTAAATAATAAAAAATGATAATTTAAAAAAATTCACATCACTCACGCAAACAAAGGAGGAGGAGAAGGAGGAGGAATGATAATAATGATAAAAAGGATACAGAGAAATAACAAAAAAAAAAAGGTTAAAATTTCAACATTTAAAAAAAAAAAAAAATTAAAATTAAATTAAATAAATCGAGGTGCGTGTGAAAAATAAAAACCTGAAACAAACAAAAAACATCAAAAAAACATCAAAAACAGAAAAATAAAAAAATTAAAATGTGCTGTAAAATGTAAATTATTGTTGTTTTTAAACAAACAAAAAAAAAATTGTGCTGGAAAAGTTACAAATTGTTTTATTATTATTATTATTATTAATAATTTGAATCGTGTACATGCTAATAATGATGATAATTAAATGATTGATTTTTGTTTGTTTGTTTACTTTTCCTTCCAAAATCCTCCCCTGAATGTGTTGTTTGTTAATCAATGCAAATAATACGAACATACATTAAAAAAAAAAAAAAAAAACATTTAACACGTGACGTGTGATGACGTCATTTACGCGGTAAAAAGGTTCGTCCTTTTTTTTTCATTTCAAGATGGTGGAGACACCACAAAAAAAAAAAAAATGTAAAAAAAAATTAATCGCGTTTCCGATGTTAAAAATCCGTGAAGTAGTCGACGACTTAAACGATGAAGTATGCGTGTGCGTGGGTGTGTGTGTGAGAGTATGATATCCTCATATTCGCATTATTGTTGTTATTATTATTATTATTATTATTATTATTAATTAATGCAGATTTTTTTTGTTGAAATTGTTAATTATTATTATTATTATTATGTTAATCTTCTTGATGAAAGCAGCGGGTTTTTTTTTGTTATTTATGTATCGTCGAATTTTAAATCGTAGTTTTGTTATTGATTAAATCTTTTCTCTCTCTCTCTCTCTCTCTCTTTCTTCTTCTTTTTCTTCTGCTTCTTTTTATATGTCTTTCTCCTTTTATTTTTTTCCTCTCTTTGAACCACAACATCGGGTATTGTACCTCGTCGCGTTATTACGCGAGGATGAACAATATTAAAAAATTTATTCGAATCATATCATATCCCCGGCAGCAAGGAATATTTTCAATCAATCAATCAATCACCGAGAATGTTTTCATTCTCTTTTCATAATATCGTGCTAAGTGGGGAAAAGTTCCACCTCCTCCTCCTCCTCCTCCACGTCGTCGGAGGAAGAGGATAAAAAAACAAAAAAGCTCGTAAAAAAAAATAATTTAAAATGCCAGAAGAGCGAGAAAAAGAGCGAGAGAAGAGATAGAGAGAGAAAGAGAGAGAGAGAGAGAGAGAAAATAGAAAAAGAAAGAAAGAAAAGCAACGACAGACCGTTTCGTATGCATGTATGTATTTTCCATTTCCCGCGCGTTAATCCGCAAAAAAAAATTTTTTTTTTTAATTTTATTTTTTGTTTTTAGTGTGTTATTGTTATTATTATTATTATTATTACGTTTGTTTTTGTGTTTATGTATGTTTGTGGTAACATAATCATTCGTAAGAATCTGAAAATAAACAAAATGAAAGAAAAGCATGAGCTCATTTCAAATATTTTTTATACGCGCCAAAAATTAAATTCAATTTTCCTACTGCTACTCTCTATTTTCTACTGCCACTACTACTACTACTATCACTACTACTGCCGCCACTGTTTGTAAACAAAAAAAAAATCGAATCGAATTTTAACGGAAAGCGGAAATGTTTTTTTTTTTTTTTTTTTAATTCGTCACTTCCGGTGGTGGTGATCAATGTTATTATTATTATTATTTTAATTTCAGTGTTGTTTAAAAAAATTCTTTCTTTCACCCTAAAACGTTGTTATTATTATTATTATTATTATTTACGTTCATCATGCAAACATGCACTTTTTTTTCTTTTTATTTTCGTATTGAAACCGTCATCGAATATTATCATTATTATTTCAATACGAAAACAAGAAGGGGGGCGAGGCGGGGCGGGGAGAAAAGAAACAAGCAAATAATAAATAAAAATAAAAATAATTAAAACGTTACTCACCCTCGCTTTTGCTGCGAGTACGAATCCCTTTTGTTGAGCGATTAGAAAATCCAAATATTCGTCATTCGAAACGTCTTTTACTTGACCCGAATCCCCGTCTACGAGTTTATTGACGATCGCGGTCGATAAAGGAACGACGTTTCCATCGGATGAATCTTTGATCATAGTCGACGACGGATCGATCAAACCGGATGTTATGGCTTCGTTAAGAGTCAAACGTTTTTTTTCGTTCATTGCATTTCCGGTTGAAAAGGGATCGACGAATGTACCCGTGTTCGAATCGTACAAACCGTATTTGAGACTTTCGATTAGGGGTAGACCCACGCGAGGAGTCAAAACGAGTCCCGAATTTATCGCTTTCGCGAGGGTGTAAAGTTTTGACGTTTCGCTATCCACGACGTTTGCCTTATCGGAATCTATCAAACCTTTTTCGAAGGCTTCCGAAAGGTTTAATAATTTACATTTTGCAACGTCTTTGACGACGGCCGAATCCGAATCCACGATCCCACTTTGCACGGCATCTTTTAAACTCATTTGTTGCGACGTTTTGGGTTTTGTAAATTTACCGGTGACGACGCTCAAATGTTTCGAATCCAGAGCTTCATCAAACGTGAGAGGTTCCTTAAGGAAAACCTTTATTCCCGATTTCAAAACGATCGGCATATTTTGATTTTCGACCGTTGTTTTTTCGTAAATTCCTTTTTCACTTAAATCTACGTCTTCGTCAATGATGGCTTGCTTGAGAGATTTGTATTGATTGGTTTTGAAATCTTTAACAACCGCCTCATCCGGATTGATTATTTCACTTTCGATAAATTCTTCGAGAGTGTATTTCTCCCCGGGAATCATTTCTTTTGATGTTTTCGAAAATGAAGCGGGTGAACTTCCGGTCAAAGGATGCTTAACCGATAACAAAATGCCATCGGCTAAAGCTTTATCCAGAGGGAAAACGGCGTTGGTCTTATGATTAACGATTAATCCCCTATCGACGTCGACGATTCCATCGTCGATGGCCTTGTTTATGTTCTTCACCTGTTGTGTCACCGGATCTTTGACGAATATGAATTCCGATGATAATAAATTACAAGCCATTCCCTGAACCAAATCAACAGCACGACCAGTTTCCGGGTCGATAAAACGTCCGACATCCGATTTAAACAAACCGTATTTAATGGCTTCGTCGATGGCATAGGGCCTGTGAGAGGGTATTATTAAATTTTTCCTCGTTGCTTCTTTCAGCGACATGCAATCATCGCCGGAAATGTACAAACACTTTTCGTCATCAATTATTTTTAGAGGCTCGATAGCTTCGTCGAGTTTCACATACTCCCCATCGGCTGTGTTTTTTATGAAAGACCCTTTGGGGTTAATCAATTCTTCTTTGATGGCATCTTTTAAGTTTAACTTTCGGCCCGTCGATGGAACCACGAACAAGGTGGAACCGTCGTCATGTAGGCCCATTTTTATGGCCTCGTATAAATCAAAGTTACAAGTTTCTATATCGACCATCAGTCCCAGTTCCAAAGCTTTTGATAAAGGTACGCTGGAGTCAGAGTCCGGCTCTTTAAATGTTCCAGCTCTTCTATCAATTATACCCGCACGACAAGTTTCAGACAGAGGCATAAGACTTTCCGTTTTTTCATTCCAATAACATGGCAAAAGTGGATTGATTATGAACTGTCTCACCGCTTCGTGCAATGTTATTTTCCTTCCGGTGTTAGGATCGCTAAACTTTCCAGTTTCTTCATCGTACAAACCCTGATGAATGGCCCTTTGAACGGAAACGGCTGCTTTATTGTCTATCAACAACCCCAATTCGAGACCTTCGATCAACGAATAATTTTTTTTGTTCGTCAAATCTTTGACTGTCGCGGAATCTCCATCCACCAAACCGTTTCGGATGGCTTCCACCAAAGGCATCTTTTTCCAGACTCCCGTAGTTGTGTCTTTGACTTCGACCGAATTAGGATCGATGAGATTTATATCGATGGCTTCTTTAAGACTCACGCTTTTACCCGTGTTCGGATTTAAAAATTTCCCACTTTCCTTATTTAGTACGTTTTTAATGATGGATTCTGTCAAGGTCATCGGCAGCCTGATTTCCACGAACAGACCTCGATCGAATGCTTCTTGAAAGTCTAATTCTAAATTTTTCGAACCCAATTTGCAAATTATTCCTTTTTTCACATCGACGATGCCCTTTTTAACGGCTTCCTCGAAAGTAATCATATTTCCATCGGTATCTTTGACCAAAGTGTTCACGGTATCTATCGTGCCTTTCTCGATGGCCGAATCGATCGATAATTCTTCTTTCGTGTCCGGATCGACAAATTTTCCAGTTTTAGGATTATAAAGCCCTTTGAAAACAATTTCCGACAAGGAATATTTTGGTTTCGTTGGAATTATGATACCGTCATTAAGAGCGTCCAACAAATGAATTTTCTCACGTGTGACGGGATCTTGAACGATTCCCGATTTCGTATCTACGATCCCGGTTTTTATCGCTTCGGAAAGCGTAATAAAATCCCCTGAATTTCTATCCTTCACCACCGTGACTTCATCGACGTTGACTTTTCCCAATTCTATTGCTTTTTCCAAAGGTACGTCAACATTTCCACCAATCGTAAATTTCCCGGTTTTCGAGTCGTAATTTTCGCGAGTCAACAATTCCGAAAGGGGTAGGGGTTTTTCCATTGTTATCAAGTAACCTTTTTCCAAAGCCTCTTTCAGGTTCATCGGAGGAGAGGTTAAAATACCTTTTTCTCCATCCAACAATCCTCTTTCCATAGCCTCCCTAACGCTAACGACTGAATTTTTATCAACGTCCTTGATTTCCACGCCGCCATCATCGATAAATTTCAAATCGATGATGGCTTTTTTTAACGTGACTTCCGTTCCCGTATCGGGATATAAAAATGTACCATTTTCCGGAGAATAATAATTTTCTCGGATCCCGTCGATGAGTGAGAGTTTCAACGGTTTAGTACGTATCAAATTCTTTTCAAGTGCTTCTCTTAAACCGACGTTTGGTTTTCCTGAAAACATTTTTATTTTCCCAGTTTTTCCATCGACTAATTTTTCTTTCATTGCTTCCTCCAACGTAAGCCATTCGTTGGTTTCATCATTTTTACACTCGGATATGAAAGAATCGATCAAACCCCGCGAAACGGCTTCCCTCAAATTAAATTCTTTCCGAGTGATGTCATCAATTATTTTTCCCGTTTCGTCATCGTATAATTTTTTCATTATGACGGCTTTCAATGAAATCGGTTTCCTATAACCGATAATCAATAATCCAGTTTTGAAAGCTTCCGTTAAATCGATTCTTTCGTTCGTATTCAAATTAATAACGAATTCCTTTTCTAAATCGACTATTCCCAATTTCACAGCTTTCGAAAGAGGGATTATCTCTTGATTAGCGGGATTCATAATATTCACGTTATCCTCGTCGAGTAGACCCGATTTAACGGCCAGGAAAACGTTTATGATTTTACCCGTTCGTAAATCTTTTATTTTTCCAGTTTCGGGATCTAAAACGCCGAATTTTAAAAATGTTTCCGTCGGCAATTTTTCCATTATCAATCCCAATTTTAATCCTTCGAAAAAAGATATCGTTTCATCATTCTCGGGATTTTTAAGAGTTCCTTTAACGGGATCTATGAATCCGAGGTTCAAAGCATCCTTCAAAGTTACACACTTATTTAAATCTGATGGATTTTTAACCGTGACGTCATTCAAATTAAGAAAACTGTGAGCCCATTTGTTAAAGGGAACGAGGTCCCGAGTTTCCGGATCCACAAATTCGTTTTTATCCGGATCGTAAATCCCCATTTTGTGTAAATCCTTGGGAGACAATTTGGAACTCAAAACGACTTTTATTGTTTTTTTAACATCGGGTTCGATGATATCCATTTTACGCGGTAAAATTTCCTTTGAATCTTTCGAATCCTTAACGGGTTTTTTACCATTTAAATTTTCCTTTGATTTTTCCAATGGAATTTTCCAATCGGGACTTTTTTCTTTTTGATTTTTACCTTTTGAATCTTTCCCTTTATCCTGTTTGACACCCGACGGAGTTTTAACCGAATCCAACAATCCCGTTTTACAAGCTTTCCTTATGTTTATTTTTTTCCCTGATGAATTTTTAATCGTTCCCGATTTTAAATCTATCAAATTATTTTTAATGGCCGTTTCCGTTGGCATTTCCTGTCCGTCGATGACTATTAAAGCTGTCGGATCGATTATTTTATAAGCTATTGCTTCCTTCAAATCGATTGTTTCTCCTTCTTTCTGAGGATGTTTAAAACGTCCCGTTTTGTCATCGTATATGTATTCTAATGCTTCCAACAAGTTCAAGGGTGTCTTTTGTACTGTTTTTACTGGAGATTCGGGTTCGATCGTCTCGTCAACTCGAACGTCATCGGGAACGATTCCAGATTTATCCTTTTCTTTATTCAAGTTTTCCTCAACGGGACTCGATTTATTGACTTCTTCCTTTTTCGGATCCGATAAGTTTTGTATCGTTTCTTCCGTTTCCGAAATTTCGTACGCAATCCCATTTTTCGAAGCTTCTTTCAGGCTCATGATTTCTCCAGTTTTCACGTTTTTGATTTCGTTTGGATTTATCAAAATGTATCCAGGTTTCAATTCCATAGTTTTTCGTCGAATCGTTTGATAACTTTTTATTACTTCGACTATCGTTTCGCTGGGTTCGGGTTTGACAACCAACAATCCCGATGTGATGGCATCTTCGATGGGAATTTCCTTTCCGGTTTCCTTGTTCAAAAATGTTTTTTTCTCGGTGTTCACGAGATTTTCTTTCAGGGCATCCATCAGGGGTATGCTCTTGGGCATGACGGGATGAGGACTGTACGACATGATAAAATCTTTATCTATGGCGTCTTTAATGGAAATTTTGTCTTGCGTCACAGGATGAACAATGTATCCATCGGGTTGAATTAATCCCCTTTGAACGAGAACGGGAAGCGTCATTCCGATTTTTGGAATTCCCATTATTTCTTCTCTTTCGTCGTTGAGGAAAATATTTTTTTTACTCGCCGTCATCAAATCCATGTCACCGTCTTTCGTTTTAAGAACGGATTTATTTTCATCTACTTTTCCTTTCGATATGGCATCTTTTAATGTTATTTTTTTCCCCGTATCGTCCAAGAGATTACATAAGGGATTGACGATTTCGCAAACTATGGCTTCGCCCAAACTGAGATCGTCACCCGTTTCCGGATGTATGATGGTTCCCTCTTCGTTTATGAGACCCTGTTTTAAAACTTCCGGTATACTTAAACTTCGGGCAACGGGAATCAATAATTCTATTTCTTTCACTTCAGGATTGATGATATTTCTCTCTACTGCTTCTTTTATCGTTATAATATCCCCGATTTGAGGATCCCGTATCGATCCCCGATCTCCGTCGAGTTTTTGTTTTTTCAATGCTTCAAGCACTGTGTCATGAGGATCTTTATTTTCAAACATTTTCATCGTTTTCTCATCGATGATTCCATGTTCGAGTCCTTCTTTTGGTTTTATAATTTTTTTACGCATTTTTTGAAGCACGACGGGTTTCGCTCTTTGTTCCAGGCTCGGTGATAAAGAGTGAGCGCGACCAATGGCAACTCTATATTTGGGTTCCGTTGTTACTCTTTCCCTTGTTTTCTTTCCAAGTGATTCTTCAATGTCGTCATCATTTTCTTCAGTTTTTACATCGTCATCGGGTTTATTTACGGTAGATTTTTCCAAAGGAATGATTTCAGTTTTGTCTCTTACTCTTTCATCTGGTTTTTGATCCTTTGATTCAAAACGTTTATTTTCCTCAACCTCTAAACTCTTCGGCTCATCGCGACTTATCATCGATTCCTTTCGCAAGGTTTCCTCTTCTTCTTCTTCTTCTTCAACCGATGAATCCTTTCCGGTTTTCGGTTCGCTAATAAATGTGGCACGTATTGATTTTATAATTTTTGTCGGACTCATAGCAGTTGCACCTAGCAAAACTATTACACCCGTTTTAACGGTTTCTCGCAACGGAATTAATTTTCCGTGAACATCCTTGTAAGTTCCGGTAGTTTTATCTATTATACCTCTGTCTACGGCTTCTTTAAAACTTATGGCGTCTTTGAACCTCGGATCTTTTACCTTTATCAAATCCGTATCGATTTGATCGTTGAGCAATCCCGTCTCGCTAATAACATTTTCAATTTCTTCATCCGACAAAACAACTTCATTCATTTTCTTTTTTAAATTTTCATTTTCATTCGCGTCCGAAAAAGACTGATAACTTTCAAGAGACGGATAATCAAAATATTTCGTTATGGTAAATTTTTTACGAGTGTTTTTTTCAATTTCGTAATCTCGTTCCTTCGGGATAATCAACTCACGTTCGATGGCTTCTTTCATCGTGATCACCGCCGCCCCCGCTTTTTCCTCTTTTCCTTCGCGATCGAAATAATAATGACCCGTCGAATCAATTATTTGCTTTTCTAATGCTCGGTCGACTGGAATCAACGTCGAATTGACATTGTTTACGACTAGTACGGATTCTGGATTGATTATCCCGAGTTTGATGCACTCTTCGAATGACACCAACCTGTCCGTTTTTGGAATGATGAACAATCCAGATTCGGAATCGAAAATTTTTTCATTTATGACTTCCGACAAATACCAACCTTCTTCGGGAAGTTCCAATATTTCGTTTTGTATGGCCGTCATAAATTTTTCGTCGGGAACTAATTGACTAGGAATACGACCTCCATCATCAACAACATTTGGACTAATTTTTTCGTCACGGGAGAGGTCAAATTTTATCACTTCCGGTTTCATAATTTCTTTTTCATGAGCAATGAAATAATTTGACGCGTCTTTATCATCCTTTATGACTTGCATTGGTTTATCTTTAAATTCTTTGGGCACATCGTCCGATTTTGATGGAAGTTCTTTCACGTTTGTTGATTCTTCGAAAGAATCAATTTTTAAATTAACGCTCTTAACGGTTTTCGATGGACTTTCATTCGTAGGTTTTGTCGGCGTGATTACCGGCACTTTTACTTCCGGTTCGGTTTTGTCTGTGACATCATTTTTACCAGTAATAAAAGCTTTTATTGTTTTCTCAGGGCTTTTATCGTCTTTGCTTCTTCCGGGTTCTTTTATCTGATCTGAATTATCAATGACGATTTTATTTGTTGTTGTAACGTCCTTGCGTTCAGGCACCTTTTTTTCAGGAATTCCTTGAAGTGATTCCATATCGGTTGTATCACGAGTTTCATTCTTCGGATCGTCCTTTTTAAACGTGTCTAAAATTTCCGGTTTCTTCGACTTAGATTTTTCGCTTTTAGGCACAGATTTCACGGGTGGACTTTTACTTTTTTTACGTGCGGGCCTTTCCGGACTGACATCTTCCTTAATCGGGGAAACTGATTCCTTTATCGTTAATGAGCTTATGCTCTGAAACTGGGACTGGGGATCAAGTTTTAACGCGGAACGGGAGGGAGTACCCTCGGTAATTACAACAGTTGAAACGGAATGAAAATTTTCTTTTTTTTCGGGAGTTTCCAGACTTTGATCTTCGTGTTTTCCCGTCGGCACGGTTATTTGTTCCGGATGGATTTTCATGACAACTTCGTCAGTTTCGGGTTTTTTGATTGAATTTTTGGTTCTCACTGGTCTTTCAGGAGGTTCGAGCATTTCAACGTTTACGGTTTCCAATTTGAGCACATCGGGTTGAGATTTGGATTTGATTTTTCTCTCACTTGAACTGTAATGGGTTTCAATGATTTTTTCCGTTATCGTTTCCGTTTTCTGTATGGTTTCCGAAGAGATTGTTTCTATTAATTTTTTAACACGTTTCTTTTCGGGACCTTTCGTTATGTGAATACTCGAATGAACGGTTACGTCACCAGGTTGATCATCGACATACTCTTTTCGCAAGTTGATCTTTTCGGAAACGATGAAATCCGTAGAATCGGGAGAGCTTTTCAATCTCTTCGACGGATGATGAACTTCCACGGGAAAACGTTTCAATTCTTCGTGAGCATATTTTTTTGGCGTCACTTGGAATTCCATTTTTGCTGGAGACACGTTAGAACCTCTGTCTGAACTTTCGAAATTGACAGAACCCACGTGTTGAAGTTTTCCTGCGGATGTTATTATCGTCTTGGTTATCGTTTGCGTCGTCAAAGACACGACCAATAAACTGTTGAATAAAGCAGCTCCTTCTTCTGTTATGATCCCCTTTGCGATGGCGTTGTTTGTAGGAATTAATTTTTGCGTTTTCGGATTGGCAATCATTCCTCTCTTCGGATCTATGTATCCTTTCAAAACAGCTTCGATAACTGTTAATTCCTTCCCATTTTCATCTTTTATTCCAATGTTTTTGTTCAACATTTCTAAAACTTCTGCTCTTATAATTCCTTTCGCTCGTCCTTCTTCGAGCGTGACAAAATTATTATCGTGTTTGAAATAAATTTCATCACCTCGAAGAGTGATAATCTTACGATCGAGTGCGGTGTTCAAACCGACAAATTCATTATTATTCTCGAATGCGTCAATGTCGAAAATGCTTCTGATTGTCACGGAAGTGATCAAACCTTTTCTAACTGCTTCCGGAATGGTCATTATTTCTCCCGTTGAATTATCAACGTATTTTCCATCGACTAGAATTATACCCGAACCTATTGCTTCGCCCAACGTTATTAACTCGTCGTTTTTCACATCCGTTACGCATTTGATTCGATTTTCATCCAAGACTCCACGTCCGATGGATTCGAGCAAATTAATTTTATCGTTATGAGTCGGACTCAAAAGGTGATCACCTTCCAAATACACGCCGGTTTCGACGGCTTCTTTCAAGGTCATCGGCTTTATGATCAACCTCCGACGATGAGCCTCGTGAAAAGGCAACAATTCCGCGGATGCCACGTGATAATAATTACCGTTTTTCGGATTAATAATTTTATTATTAATTGCTTCTTTAACGGTTATTTTATTGTCTTTTCCCGAGTCGACGATTTCACGAAAATTCGGATTAATCAAACCCTTTTTAATACCCTCGTCCAAATCCAATTTGCCGCCATTTTGACGATCGTAAATCAAACCTTTTCCATCGATTAATCCGTGTTCGAGAGCATCCATCAAACTCAAACCTTTTTCTTTGCCGCGAGAAAATTGACTAGATAAAATTCCACTTTTAAAAGCATCCAAAACGGGGATTTTTTCCCCATTTTCCAACGTCATCAATCCCGTTTTGGGATTTAATTTATTTTTTTCTATAGCGTTTTGAATGGTCATATCATTGGGAGAATTGTTACCAAATTTCGAAAAATAAAATTTTTGATACAAAATCGGATCTTTTTTATCGATTTCAACCGGCGTTCCTCTTACCTTCATTAAATATTCCAGACTGCTACCGGATTCCGCATCGGATATGTTCTGCTGTATAGCTTCCAAAAGTGAAATCTCTCTGTCGTTTTCGAACACGCCGCACGGACCTAAAAGTTTTTCCGCGAGTTTTCCGTCAATCAACCCGTACTTGACAGCGGATTCTATTGAAATCGGTGTTATTTTATTATTTACAATCGCGTTAAACATTCCCGTTCGAACGTCTAAAATTCGAAGGGAAATGGCTTCTCCCACGGTTAGCAATTCATTCGTTTCCGGATGAACGATTCCCAATATGTCGATCACCGAATCCCTTTCGATACCTTCTCCGACCGTTTTTATTCTTTTAAACGATTTATTTTCCGTTAAATCCATTTTGGATTTAAAAAATTGTTCGGCCGACGGCGAATCGACATACGTTACCGATTCTAAAACGTTTTTTTTAATTTTATTTTTTTTATCAGGGGAATCCCCATTCAGCTGAACGTTATTTGAAACTACGGGATGTAAGGTACGATGTTGCTGCTGCTGTTGCACGGACGGGACTCTATTGAAAAAAATAGGGAAATTTTCGATAAGTACCTTTTTCAACTTCATTTTAAACAACCATTTTTTTTTTTTTTAAAAAACTTACCTTTCGATTAAATATGGCGATGTTGCCGTTTCCGATATGCTAAATTCAGTTCTAAACGTTTTTAACGGTTTTGGTTCCGTTTCGTATAGGAAAACCTGTCGAAATTAATTTAATTTAAGTTTTTTAAAACGTTTGGTTAGTTTATTTAAAAAAAACTAAAACTAAAACTAAAAAACTAAAATAAAAAAAATTTAATTTACCTCCTCCTCGTGTGTGTGTGTGTGTCCGACAAAAAATTACACACATAATATATATTTTTAATAATTTTAACCCCCCAAAAAAAATATGACGTCATACACAACTAATAAAAAAAATAAACCAGGAAAATAAAAAAAAAGAAAAGAAAAGAAAAAATTCACGGTGGTATTGAACGCCACCAAGATGGCAACAAAACAAAAAAAAAAAAAAAAAACTAAAAACTTGTACAAATCCTTTTGAGGGAAAGAACATTTTGACACCCACACGCTGGACATTTTACAAAAAAAAAAACTGGACACATTTTGGAAAATTTTATGAATTTTCCAATTACGGAAAGTTGAAATTTTTCATTTTTTTAAAAAGTAACACCCATAATATCTCAAAAAAAAATCCTACACTTTTTCAAAACATAAATCATTCTTTTAATAATAATGATAATAATAATTATTATTATCATTCCAAAAAAAAAAAAAAAAACGTGAAAGAAAAATACTTAATAATAATAATAATAATAAATTTAAAAAAAACTTACAACGATTCGTTTATCTTGTGGATTTCTCGCCGAATAATCTTTTAACAATCCGCGAATGTCGGACGATAACTGGAGGAATTTTTTGTTCAAATCATCCAGACGACTCGCTACGATATCACCACCGCTGGAATCCGTTTTAGACAATTTGACGGTCGCGTCCAAAGATGGATGAACGTCCGCCAACAACCAATCCACGTATTTGTCGACCCCGTGATCATATATCTAAATATGTTAGTGTTATAGCTGTTATTCAAGTAATTGGGTTACTCGCATTAGTTTTTTTTTTTTTTTTCTTTCATTTTTCATTATTTATATATATATATAGATAAATAAGTTTATATTTACTTATATTACAATTTATTTATTTATTTATTTAAATATTAATATTATGAAATGGTTTTAGTTTTTTTTTTCTTTTCCTTCTTTTCTTTATTATTAAATCGTTACCGTTTCGTTGTCTCTTAAAATTTTATCAAGTAAAAAAAATAAGAAAGAGAGAGAGAGAGAGAGAGAGAGAGATAGAAAAATTTTTTTTTTTATACCATAAGAGTTAATAATAAAAAATTTAAGAGACAAGAAAGATGGTAACGTAATCAAAAAAAAAAAAAAAATGTGCGTAATGTGATGATAGTGCAAAACCCACGTGTTGTGAAGCGCACCATTTTTTTTCTTTTTCTTTTCCTCTTTTCTTTTTTATTGTAAAAAAAAAAAAAACCCTAAAACCTTTTTTCATTTAAGACAATAGATACGAAAAAGAAACGAAAATAAAAACAACTACTAAATAAATAATAAACACAAAATTTCTTTCTTCTTCTTCTTCTTTAAACCAACCACATATATACACAAAAAATTAATTAGCCATGCTTTGTATAAAATAAAATAAAAATTTTTTTTTTTGCTTTAAAAAAAAAAAAAGTGAAAAATATGAAGCAGCTTCTAGAAAACGTTTCTGTTCTTTAAACATTCTATGAAGCACATTGAGAAAAGTTTTTTAATTGAGCAGTAATTCATTTAATTCTATACAAGAACAACAACAAAAACAAAAACAACAGAAAAAAAAAAAAGAAAAAAAAAAAAAAGATGTGCATTCCAAATTAATTTTTAGTTTAACTAAAAGAAATTAGCTTGCGATAGATGATGTCATCAATCGAAATGATAATGATAATAAGTGGTTAAAAAAAAAAAAAAAAAAAATGGCGGTTACAAAAAAGTTATCATACAAACAAACTGTAAATGATAACAACAACAAAAATATAAAATTTTTTTAATTCGTTCACTACGAACGTGATTGGCGAAGGTGCTCTGCTTTATATACCGATAAATATTATTATTATTATTATTATTAAAATAATATTTATGTGCACGTGTAATTATTATTATTATTATTATAAAAAAAATTTTTGCAAATTGTGCATATTTAGTAGTCTGCAAATAAAAAAACATGCAAAAAAAATAAAAAAATAAAAAAGCTGTTGAATTTTTTTTACATAATTCAAAAAAAAAAAAAAAAAATCCTGCGGAACAAAACAACTATTAAAAAAATAAAAAAAATCACGTGATCAAAATAAATAAATAAAATCACGTGATCAAAAAATAAATAAATAAAAGCAATGAGGCTGAGTACGTAAAAAACAAGGTGAAGTAGGAAAATGCAAGCACACGAAACACTCACACACAAAAAAAATAAAAAAAAAAAAATTCTAACGACTAAATTTTCCCTCCCTCCCCTCACTCTCCTCACCTCCTTACCCCCACTCACCCACTACACCCCAAAAATTCGATTTTGATTGCATTGGCGTGTGTGTGTGTGTGAAAGGGAGAGAGAGAGAGAGATAGAGAGAGAAAAAGAGAGAGAAAAAAAAAGAAAAGAAAAATCATTATATATTACTTTAGCTTCTCGAATGTATCTTCCTCCGACCATGTTCACTTGTTCTATGTGTTGAGTCCTTTCGATGACGTTCGTGTACAAATTCTAAAAAATAAAAAAAAAAATTATAATTTTCACACGGCAGTCGAAGAGGGGGGGGGCGCCATTTTTTTTTTTTTATAAAATAAAAACCTGGGGAAAATATTTTTACCTTTGTCGTCTCGAGGTCTTGCGGAGCGTTTAATTTTTGATAAGAATCTTCAACGAAATTCACTTCGGTATCGTAAGCATTCGTGAATTTTTGTAACATTCCGTAAGCCGTTTCGCAACTTCTCAATCTATAAATTATTATTATTATTATTATTTATTTTCCTTTCTTAAGGCAAAACAAACCTTTTCTTTGGTATTTTACCTGTCGCTCAATTGATTGACAAGAGTCGACCATCTGTTATTTAATCTCGTTATGTCGGAATCCAAACGGTTAAGATCATCGTAGGGCCCTCGATGTTTTCTAGATTCTTCTACGATTCTTCTCGCGTTGTGTGCATCGTCACTCAATTGATTCATTACGTGTTGTTGTGCCGTGGCTTTAGATTGTAAAACTAATAATTCTTCGTGAACCTAGAAAAAAAACAAAATGAATGTTTTTTGCTTCGAGTAGAAATGGAAAAAAAAAGACGGCAAATTACTTTTTGCAAAGGTTTTATTTCGCTTGGCATGTGAGTAAAACTCGCCAATTTGTGTTCAACTTCTGAAACTTTTGTGGTAACATCTTCCAAACTGGACAAAAGGATTTCGATGCATTTGAGCCTTTCGACGTATAATCGACTGCTGTGCCACAAAGCATCCCATTGAGTCAATAATTTTTTCAATTTCGATTCTTGTTGCGGCGTCTTTTTCGGAATTTCTCTGAATGTTTTTTGAACTTCGTCGACGCGAGTCTTCAAAGTCTGAAAGGTAACGAAAAAGAAAAATTTTCCAGGCACGATTTAATTAAAATAAATAAAATTAAGAGGAAAAAGGTACCAATAAACGTTGTTCGAAATCTTTGTGCTGTATAACCATATGTTCCAAACTGTCAAGATCTCTCGGTACAGGAGCGGATATTCTCGAATTTAGAGCATTTTCGGCTTCGTCTAAAGATATTTGAAGGGTCGATATTTGAGTTTCGAAAATCCTTCCCATGTTTTTGCTTTCTTCTACAAAATGAACAAAAGAACACAACGTAATATCATTCGGAGTGATGATAATAATAATTAAAAGGTATTACACCCCCCCCTACCATCTTGTCGGGCTCGTTTTTCAAATTCATCGAATAATCTGTTCACTTCATCCATTTCACGTCTTAATCTTCGCAATTGAGGATCAGTCGGATCTCCCTCGGATATGAGCTTCTCGGCATCATCGTTCAATGCTCTCCTAATTGCGTTTCTCTGTTCTTGTCCCATCGCGACAAACTGAAAGATTATTTTTAAAAAAAAAATTATTCTTCGGTTGGCAGAAAATTAAAACAAGAGATACCAACAGAAAAAAAAAAAAAAAAAAATCATTACTTGAGCCAAATCCCACGTTTTGACAACTTTTATAGTTGCAAATATCATATTCTGTCTCATTCTCAATTGTTTTTTCTGCCACAAAGCAACGCTTCTGTCAAATTGACGTCTCAATCTTTCGATTGCTTCGATGGCGTCTTTATCGGGGGGTGGTATGGCTAATATGACTCCAGGAACGACTCCTTCGACGTTTGCCATGTTTTTAACACGCCATTTAACGCGACCGGAATTATCGTGAAGAACGCAAGTTTCGTTTTTGTCGATATTTATCTGAGAATAAAAAAATTTCGTAATTTTATCAAAGAGTAAATTTTTTTTAGGTCAGGTTAAAAAAAAAAAAAAGATTTTTCAACTCACGTTTCCTTGTTTATAATCACAGATGGCTCGAACTTTCAATGGTTTGGTAACTGGTTGCCTTCTTTGTTTCAATGGTACGACATCTTTACTCGTTTCCGCGAGTTGACTAACAACATCACCGTAATGATTTAATTCCTCTCTCAAATCTTGCATTCCCTTCAACAACCTTTCACCATCATCTAAACTAAAGTCTGACTGGCTATAAATCGTATTGAGCATTTCGTCTCTCCTATAATGAAATAAAAAAATAAGTTATTTATTTATTTATTTTTTTTTTTTTCCTTGATAGAAAAACGATGATGCGTACTTTGAAATCCAATCTTCTGCTTCCTTCACGTCTTTATAAAATTGCTGATAAACTTGAGCTTGCTTAAGATGAGTTTCGAGACACAAAGCCAATTGAAGAACCCAAGACCATTGATTTTGAAGTGCTGTCATGTACGTTTCGATGCATTTGGAAGCAGGATGTCTTTGCAAGATGAGTGCTTCTCCTCTGTCCACAACGGCGCTGAATTGAATTTCTCGTCTTTCTAATTCAGACATCAACGACTACAAAAAAAAAGATGACTTGAAATTTTTTTTTTTTTTTTTTTTTTTTTGAAAAAACGTGTCAGCATACAACAAAATTAAAAAAATTTTCATGAAAACCAATTATTAATTGCCTTACCGTGCCTCCAGAACCAAAAGCACACTAAGAAAAATTAAAAAAATTATAAAGTCTATAAAAACTTTTGACATTTTTTTTCGGGGAGAAGGAAAAAAAAAAAAATAAATAAATAAATAAATATAATACCTCGTAATAATGATGAACAGAAGACAAATCTAAATTTTTATCGCTCCAATCTCTCGTTATTTCCGTTTCCTCTTTTTCGTTAAGCCAAACGAGTTCGTTTGTGGCACTTTGAAGAAAATCTTGAAGCGTTTCAAGATCCGTCATGCGTTTATTTATCAAAACCAACAATTCGGCGTAGATTTTTTGTAAATTATTCAAATGTTGAATGTACAATTGATGTTCTTCTCCGTGGAAATTATTCTGCGTAATAAAAATTTTAATATCATCAAGACAATTCAATTCCGACCGATTTAACTTACGTACAAAAAAATGGGGGGAAAATTACTTTTGAGTTGGCACACTGCTGAATTTTTTGCTGGTATTGTTCAATGTGTTTTTGCTCTCGTTGCACAGCATCTAATTCGGCTTGACAACTCGGCAAATCAGATCCGTATTCGCGTTCGTTAATCGAAGCCTAAAAACGGAAAAAAAAAAAAAAAAAAAAAGATTTTTTTAAACCAAATAATTCTCCTCTCCCCTTCCTCCTCCCCCCAAAAAAATGATAATGACGTTACCAATTTATTTTTAACCCAATCGATGCAATCCTGAAGTTGTCGAAAATGTGGGTTACTGTCGACCAATCTGGTTTCAAGGACGGTTCTCGTTTGACGTATCACGGTTCGTTCTTCGAATGATGAATTCGTTATTTGATTTATGATACGAGAATGCAAGAGATTTTGAAGTGATTCCCATCTTTGACGTAATCTTTCAACGCTACGTAAAATAATTCGATATAAATACAACATTTCCACTCTCTCTCTCTCTCTCTCTCTCTCTCTCTCTCTCTCTCTACTTGAAATAAGCAAGTTAATAATTTACCGTTTGTAAAGCTCTGGAGCTTGAGGATATCTTGCTTCTCTAAGGTACTGCACATCCGATAGTATGTATTGAATGTTTTCTTCGACCATTCGTATATTCATTTGCAATTGTTCGACGATATTTTTAGCATCGACGGGATGTAATCGATCCAATCGAGTCGACTCTACTTCGATTTGTTGTTCCAATTCTTCTAATCTCGTATCAACTTGTTTCATTTCACGGTGAACCTGAGAAAATTTTTTAAATGATACCGTTAAATGCATAATTCACCATATGAGGACACGTGTAATTAACGTGTTTCGTACCTTGTCGGCCAATCTTTGAAGTTTTTCCAATCTCTTGAGTTCTTCTTGTATGGCCAAATCTTTGTCCTGATGAGCTTTCAAAAGTCGAGTCCAATTTTTCTCGATATTATCAATATGAAGTTCGGGTTCTAAGTCGAAATCGTTGTAAGAATCATGATGCTTCTAAAGATTTAAATAAGAAAAAATAACCGTTTTTTTTGTCGAATGATTCCGGTAAATAAATAAACGGCGACATTTCATAAATTTAAAAAAAACAAACATACGGTAAGATCTCTAAAAGCGCTGTGTAATCTTTGCTTTTCCCTTTGCTTAGCTGGTATCTCTTCATTTCTAAATCTGTTAGATTCGGCAACCATTCTTTTGATTTCGGGTAAAGAATTGGGAAAAGAACGATCTTGCATCAATGATAATTTTTCTCGAATCCATAAATGCATTTGAATGGCCATCTCGCGGTAACCGCCAGTTGTTCGAGATTGAGATTCCTTTAAAAACCAAATAATGATGATAAAAAAAAAATTAACCCCGTTGAAATACAAAAAAAAAAGAAAAAATTTTTTCTCCTCCCCCCCCTTCCTTACATTTTCTTGCATCGGATGATGGACGGGTGGTTCTGGGAAAACATCGTAAAGTGATGAAATATACGTAATCAAAGATTTTTCATCTGGTTCGTTCGTATCAACATCTGAAACAGAAAAAATTTTCGAGTTGTAATATTGAAAACAAGCATAATGGCTACCACCACCTTCCTCACCTCATCGTCGTAGCAAGGAAAAATATTTTAATATTATGTAAAAAAAAAAAAAAAAAATTTAATCTTAACCTATAACCCATCAAGGTAGTTAAAAAACAGAGTCGTGACTTATGACGTAATCAACTGGAAAAATTTTTTTTTACTCGTCGACTCATGTTTACTCTCCCCCCACCCTCCCCGTAGGAAAATATTTTTGAATTTTTTTCTTACCTTCGACATCGAGGAGTCTAGTGACTCCATATTCTCTTTCGGCTACGTGGAAGGCATTTTCTAAACGATCTCGAATCTGTCGTGATCTAATCGTTCGCCAATCTATAAGGTCAGGTCTATTTCTATGAATGATGGCATTGAAGGCAAGACCGTCTCTCCAGGAGGAAGTGAAATCGTTGATTCTCACTCCCGGATATTTCGTAGTCGATTTCTTGGCCCATCTTAACAATGCGTCTTTCGCCGTCACATTAGGTTCTTGTCCGATTATAATGTCGGAAATCTAAAAGAAAAATCAAAAGATGGTCGATTATTAATTAACACGTCATAGAATAAATAAATTTAAATTCCGCCTTTCGATTGGATGCAAATTTTTACACACTTGAAATTCATTCCAATCAAATGAGAAAGGATATTACATAAGAATCATGTTCTAATAAAAATTAGACAGATTAAAAACTAAGAGGGAGAGGGGGAGGGGGGGAAATATAAAAAAACCGCGCGCCCACTTGAAAGCACTCACAAATTTTTATCTGTCTACTCCCACGGTAAAAAAAAAAAAAAATTTTTTTTATCGGAATCAAATTGCCTATATTTGTATTTAAAATCATTAAAATTTCGTTACGAGTTTTTTTTTTTTTTTCCATTCAAAAAATAAATAAGCCGGTTATAAAAGTTAACAAGTTTTTTTTTTTTTTTTTTTCCTACCACGAAAGACAAATTAACACGACAGATTAAAAAAAAAAAAAGAATAATTAAAGTGAAGAATAAATATTATTACGTGTGGTATGGTAAAAGATCCAAAAAAGGCATTGAACACACCTAAGATTAAAAACAACAGACGACAGATAGGGAAGGGATTGGGGGGGAAGGGGGGAACAACAACGAAGGTCGATTACCGATCGATATTTGTGTCGAATGAAACGACCCAGAAAAACAAAAAAAAAATAGAAAATCATCCCAAAACCTCGATAAACAAAAACAAAAGTAAAAAAAAAAAAAAAAAAAAAAAAATGTGGGCACCATTAGATATGAAAACATTTCATTTTAATTTAAGAGATTCGACGTGTAATTAGAAAAAAAATAAAAAATAAAAGAATCGTGGCAAATAATTATAAATTCCAACAATCGGTTAAACAACTATAATCACGAATTTAAAAAGAAAAAAAGGAAAATTTTACAAAAAATAAAATTCAAGGCTTTCAATCGGCATAAAAAGAAAAAAAAAAAAAAAAGAAAAAACTTCTGCTATAAATTTCAAATAAAACTAGTTTTCTCTCTGCAAGTTACCTTTTCATTGCATTTATTATCATTATTATTATTATTTGCGTCATCGTCACGACTTTTTGCAACAAAAAAAAAAAATTATTAATAATTAACGTTAAAACATATTCGAAAATTCCAACAAAACGAAAAAAACAATTTCCAAGTTATCGATTAATCGAACGATCGATCGATCTATCGATATCAACATAAAAATATTTATTATTCAGGTACGTCAAACGTCATCACGTCAAACAACGTCATCAACAAACAACTCCCTGAAATACGTATTAAATTCAAGCATAAAAAAATAAAACTTTTATCATTTTTAGGTACGGTAGAGAGAGAGAGAGAGAGAGAGAGAGAGAAAATTTTACGCCATCGCTTGTATTATTATTATTATTTACGCAATTTTCCGGAGGTGATCCAGGATGGCAAAGCAATAAATTAAACACACTAAATTATCACTAATAATAATAATAATTTTTTTTATTTTTATTACTCGCCATTTGACTTTTTCTTCTTTTCTTGTTCCTAAATAAGTAAAATATAATTATGAAAACAGCCGATGATATCGATGCCGCCATTCCGTAGTTTTTCCAATTTTCATTTTCACGTAACGACACGCAACCTTCTCTCACGAAATTCAAAAATCCCCTCCAACAATTATTGCAAAACAATAACCATTTCATTTTATTCGCGAAAAAAAAAGAAAAATTCTTTTCTTTATTTTTTAATTATTAACACCTAACTGACAAATTATCGAATTACTATTATTATTATTCATTCTTCCTTTTTTTTCTTCCTTTTTCTCTCTCTCTATTTACTATCGACACTGCTGCCAACCATAATCTGACAACACATTGATTATTCAACAACTAATACAACTATACTGAACTTCCTTTAAATAATTTTTCTCTCTCTCTCTCTCTCTCTCCCCCCGTTTGTGCGTGCGTGAGTGCGTGTTTTTTCTGTCGTTGTTGTTGTTGTTGTTTTTATTTTTAAACAAAACAAACCGTTTTGCTCTTGACAATTTAGATAAAATTTATCTTTATGTTAAAACAAATATTTATTCTAGTGAAAGCATCGCCATCAGTTATTGTTATTGTTAAAAAAATTTTTTTTTTTTTTTCAAATTCATTTTAAATTTTTTTTTTTTTTGTGATGATGATGATGCAATAAGTTAAACATTATATCGAAACATTTATCGGAAATGAATGTGTTCCAATAATAATAATAATATATATGACGAAACAAATAATAATAATAAAAAAAACCTAAATGTTTTATTTTTTATTGTTTTTTTAACGTTTTTTTGTGTGTGTGTGTGAGAAAGAGATAGATAGATAGATATATAGGGAGGGAGGAATAGAGAGAGAGAGGGGAGGGGAAGGAGAAGGAAGGAGGAAGAAAAAAGAAAAGGTTAAAGAGGAAACTCTTAAAGAAAGAAATAATTAACGTTTATTTAACGAGGGGCAAAATATAGAAATTTAAAAAGAAAAGCACCACGCACGTACGGACGCACAAACGCACGCATAAAGGTCTATGAACTGACATTAACAATGCGTATAAAATCACGATGCAAAAAAAAAAAGAATTTATAGAGAGTATTTTTTTTTTGTTCATATTAATATTCAACTAAATAAATTCATTCGAACACGAAAAAAAAAAAAAACCGTTATAAAAATAAAAAAAAAATTCAACCCAAATTTAGGTTCATCCATAAAAAATTGTTCGTGAATTGAACCTTAACACATATTTTAGTCGTCCCTTTATTTCCCCCCCCTCCCTGCCTCCCCCCTTATCAACGAGATAAGCCATTCTTATCGATTATAATAATTACAAATCGTTTATTGATAACAAAATAGTGTTAATAATAATAATAATAATCACGATTCTAAATAGTTTATCAAAATTTTGTGAAAAAATACGCTGACTGATAAACTGATAACACTCTCTGACCGAAATTGAATGAAATAATAATAATAATAATAATAATAATAGTTTTTCCGCCAATTTTTCGTGCCATTAAAACACGTTTATTTTTATCTATATTTAAAAAAACTTGTTTTCTCTTTCTCTCTCTCTCTCTCTCCCTCTCCGTCTACTTATTTAAATTTAAATTTCAAAATGGTATAAAAAAATTTGAAATGTTTTAATAATAAAACTGCCAAAATATTTGCCATGTTTAAAAAAAAAAAAACAGGGCTGACAACATGAATTCGTTTAACACGTTTTCGTCCTTGGTTCGTGTTTTCATCGCCCCCGACTTATTAAACATTTTCTCTCTCTCTCTCTCTCGTTTTATTTTAAACTTTTTAGAAATGACTTCATTTACAACCAACAACAACAACAACCAGTCAACAGTCCAACAAACAACCAGGTTATGACAAATCAACAAATAAAGAAACAAAACCATTTTTTTGCAACAGTGTAAAGAATTTTTTTAACACGTTTTTCTCCTTCTCCCTCTCCTCCTCGACGACGTTGTCGAATTCACGTTTTATTACGTCGGATAATGGGGGGGAGAGGGGGGAAGGTGTGAGTGAGGTGAGGGGAGGAAACGGGAAAAACATTAAGGCTAAAAAAATATATATATATATATATATATTATTTGACAACACCTGGGGCGGGGGAGAGGAAAGAGAGAGAGAGAGAGAAAAAAACCGGTTTTTCCCTATGCTCCACTCTTTCCCTTCCCCCCCCAAAAAAAAATCCTTTTAATGCAATAAAATAAAAAAAGCAATTACGATAAATTGATTGTTCGTACAATTTAGAAAAATCGAAACGTACAATTTTTTTTTTTTTTTTTTTTTTATGAAAACCAAAAAGACAAGAGACACAAAAGTTCGTTCATCTCTTTCATACAAAAAGAGAGAGAGAGGGAGGGGGGGAAATAATTTTCTCGATACTTTAAAATTTCCCAAATGCAGTTATTAATTTCGATGATAATGATAACAACACACAGAATAAAAAAAATTTAAATAAAGCAATCATGGAACCCAACTCAAATCTTACATAACATTTCGAAAAAGAAAAACTCATTAAACAACTTTTTATTATTATTATTATTATTATTTTCATTGTTTAATCCGAGTACTACTTATTAAGCAACAACGAACAAAACTTTTGCATACAATAATAATAATAATAATAATAATAATTCTTTTCATTGTTTTACTTTCTTTTCTAGTTTTTTTTTTTTGCAATACATAGAACGCGCAATTATTTATCATTACTTTTATTATTATTATTATTGTTGTGTTATTAATAAATATTTTCATCATGTCATCCATTTTGAAATTTTTTAAACAAATCCTAAAAGAATAAATTAAATTTGTTGTTGTTTATAATTACAGTCTTTTACTATTAAAACTAACAATTATCATTTTAAATATATTTTCCGATTGAAAAAGAGGTGGAATGAACAAACAAACCAAAAAAACTCAATATATGACCACAGACGGTAAATTTTTTGCAAATAATAATAATAATAATAATAATAATAACAATACAACGGAAATCCTGCGCCGTTTATTAAATTCCTCTTAACTATTCTATGATGATGATTTCACCATTTAAAATTTAATAATAACCTCGAGACTAACACACAATAATAAAACTCATCACACAATTGAACGTTTAAATCATCATCATCATCATCAACATGGCGCTAGTTTTTCGTTAATGTTTTTTTGGCGATGCGTGAGAAAAGGTTTTTCCCCCCCCCCCCCCATTTTTTTTCAAGTCTCAAACTTAATAACTCAATTTAATATGAAAGAGGTAAAGGAAAGAGACAAACATAAATAAATAAATAAAAATTCACCCACGTGATTTTTAATTAATGAATAGTCAATCAATGAATGATGCCAAATGGTATAATTTGTACGCACGCACGCACGCACGCACACTCACGCACTCACACACACACCTTGTGACGTTGAAATTTTTTTAAACGTGGGTTTTCTTATTTAAAACGACGACGTCGTCGTTTGTCAATCATTTGCAAAACCAAAAAAA